TCCTTTATCTTATTTGCAAATAAGTCCTAAATCAGTATATGCTATTTTGGGTGGAGTATTTTATAAGTTCCATCAGGTAAAATTGATTGACAGTGTTGTTTAAGTCTACTCTATTCTTTCTAGTTTTCTTATCAAGAAAAAGATGAGGTTAAAAAAAAAAAAAAAGAGGATGTGAACTGTACAAGATTGCATTTCATAGCATTTATCTATGCCCATATATTTCCAAGTTCTCCCTAAGACGTTTTCCTCTTTTGTCAAGTGGTTGTCTTTGACAGAACTCCTTAGAAAGGTCCACTGTTAATTAATAAATTTGCTCATGTTGTGTTCATTTTTTGCCCATCTTTCATTCATATTGTAGGCTTTAGACATATGCTCATGAACTGCAAATGATTTAGTTAAAAACATATACATATAATTCATACTGGAGTAGTCTGAGTGCTTCTCATGCATGTATATTGCCATTATTTTAGTAGGTTATTTGCATATGTTCTAGAATCTGATTTTGGTGGACTTCATTACCATAGCATGGGACTGAGCTGTGGTCATTGCCATTTGTTTGCAAAGAAGCTCACAGGGAGAAATTCCAAACAAATCTTTGTCTTGCTTTAACAACCAGTAAAAATATAGCAGCAAGTACAACCACTAATCTGTTTTTCCCCCTCAAACCAGCTCCAATATTTTCTAGAAGAGAGAAGCAACCCTTTAAATGATAAATCACAGTATAATTTTAGTGCTACCCCTAAACCCTGCATTTTTAATAATAGGAGCTTAATGAAAATTTCATGAGTTTAAAGCAGTAGGTTAAGTTGGTTTGGGTAGAAATTCAACCTCACGTTATCGCGTGTCAGAGCAGCCTACCAAATGGTATTTTTTTCAAGTTACAAGCAGAAGTCACATGAATAAATGTCTTCAGATCCAGATGCTCTGCCTACCTTCAGTGTACTATGGTTGTGGAGTGGGAGAAGGGGCCAGGATAGCAATAATATACCAGCAGTCTAACTGACATGGCCAGATGTTCTCAGGAGAATGCTCTAAATGTGATCCTGGGGATGGTTCTATTGCTCTACAGGTGCATAAGGGAGTAGGGAGTGATGGAGATTGCATTCCTAAATAGAGTAAGTCTCATTGAGAAAGGTGACGTTTGCTCAAAGACTTGAAGGAGGTGATAGAATGAAAGTAATGAGTCAGGATGCAGAGATGCAGAGCACTAGGACCTTAAAGATTATTGTAAGGACTTTGGCTTTTATAAAACTTATTTGAGTAAAATGTGAAAATACTGGAGAGTTTTGAGCAGAGAAGTGACATAATCACATATTTTAAAAGGATTACTTTAGGGACTTCCCTGGTGGTCCAGTGGTTAAGACTCTGCACTTCCATTGCAGGTGCCATGGGTTCGATCCCTGGTCAGGGAACTAAGATTCCATATGCTGTGTGGCATGACCAAAAATAAATAAATAAAATAAAAATGTTTTAAAAAGATTATTTTATTTCTTTTGGCAAGGGTGGCATGAGTGGTTTCTGCAGTAAGCCAGGCAAGAGGTGATGATGGCTTGGGCCAGAATAGTAGCAGTGGAGGTGTGAGAAGTGGTTGGATATTGGATGTGTTTTGAAGGCAAGCTGACAGGTTTTGCCATGGGATTATATATGAAGTATATAAGAAGAGGAAATCAAAGATGACATTAAAATTTCTGCCTTAAGGGACTTCCCTGGCGGTCCATTGGTTAAGATTCCACACTTCCACTGCAGGGGCCACAGGTTCGATCCCTGGTTGGGGAACTAAGATCCTGCATGCCATGCAGCCCAAAAAAAAAAAAAAAAAAAAAAGTATTTTTGCCTTAAAAAAAAAAAAGAAAGAATTACAACTGGAAGAATAGAGTTACCATTTACTGAGATGGGGAAGACTTTATGAGAAATACTGTTTGGGTGAAAGATGAGCTCAGTTTTGGCCATGTTACGTTTGAGATGCCTGTTAGACATCAAAATGAAGCTGTTAAGTAGGCAGTTGGTTATGTGAGCATGGAGTTCAGGGAAAGATCTGACATGGAAATACAAATTAGAGAGTTATCCAATGTATTGATGGCAAACTGGATGTGAGCACTAAAAGAATGAATATAACTGGAAAAAAAGTCCGAAGTCTGAGTGAATATAACCGGAAAAAAGAAGTCCAAAGTCTGAGTGAATATAACTGGAAAAAAGAAGTCCAAAGTCTGAGTGAATATAATTGGAAAAAAGAAGTCTAAAGATTGAGGAGAAGAGGAGAAATCAGCAATGGAGTGGCCAGTGAAGGGAAGAAAATCAAACTAACTGATGAAAATGTTTTAAGAAGATAAGAATGGTTGATTTTGTTAAATGCTGCTGATATATCAATGAAGATGAGTCCTGAAAGTTGACCTTTGGATTTAGAGAAAACCATTGATGATCTTGTTGAAACTTATTTTAGGAGAGTGCTTGCCTTGAAAGTCTGACTGGAGTGGGTTTTAGAAAGCATAGGAGGAGAAGAAAAGAAGGAAACACTTCTTCCAATGATCTTTACTGCAGATGGAGATAGAAACATTATGTGTTAGCTTGAGGGGCAAATGGAGTCATGCAAAATTTGTTGTGTTTAAAATGGGAAGAATAATAGCATGTTACGTGCTGATAGGAATAAGTTAATAAAGAAGGGGAAAAAATCAGGGAGAACTGGTGGAGAGTTAGTAAGGGTATGGGGTCTAGAGCACAAGAGTGATTAGACTTAAATAGGAACACAGTCACAGGAAGGAAGGCAGAATGTGTGGGTATAGATACTCATTGGTGGACAGATGTGGTAGAGGTTTGTAGAAGTTCTCTTCTTGCTGCTCAATTTTCTGAGTGAAATGGGAAGTAGGTCATCACTTGAGAGTAAGAATGGTGAAGGAGTGTTGGAGGTTTGAGGAGAGGAGGAGATGGTGTGAAATCATACAGAAGAATGAGAAAATGGACCAGGGAAATATGGTGTGACTGTTGGGCATCATGAAGGGGCATTTGAGGTTTGTGGTCAGGGCTTTAAAGTGAAACCAGAGGGTGTTGTTTTGTTTGTTTTTTTCCATAGTCATATTAATATAGGCAGTTATGGAATAGATGGGGAATTGGATTGAATCAGGGTTGCGTTTGCTAGGTGTATTCCTAGTACAGTAAAACTGGAGAGATTCCTATTCCCCCCCACCCCCGCCCAAGGGGTATGTAGGGAAGCAGATTCTTCAAAGGAATACTACCAGACTTTAGTTAGAAAAAGAAGGTGTTGGATTGCAGGATCTTAGTTCCCCAACCAGGGATCGAACCCATGCCCCCTGCAGTGGAAGCACAGAAGAATCCTAACCAATGGACCCCCAGAGAATTCCCTACAGGTTTCTTTTTGGAATACAGGCTCTTCCTTTTTGTACTGTACTGGTAAGAAAGAGGGGGATGGGGGCGAGAGATTTTGAGAGAGAGAGCGTGCTAATATCTATATTTAATATATATCTAATATCTATAGATTTATTAGATATTTAATGTTTATATGTCTAATATATATATTATGTGGAGGATGAAGCTCAAGATCTTCAATCTACTCAGTCCGAACTTACGGAGTTTCACCTATCTCAGTATGTAATGCCTCATCCCTTTTTAAAAAAAATTTATTTATTTATTTTATTTTATTTTTGGCTGCCTTGGATCTTCATTGCTGCACGCGGGCTTTCTCTAGTTGCAGTGAGCGGGGGCTAGTCTTTGTTGCTGTGCACGGGCTTCTCATTGCGGTGGCTTCTCTTGTTGCAGAGCATGGGCTCTAGGCGTGTGGGCTTCAGTAGTTGTGGCACGCAGGCTCAGTAGTTGTAGCTCGCAGGCTCTAGAGTGCAGGCTCAGTAGTTGTGGTGGACTGGCTTATGTGCTCTGCGACATGTGGGATCTTCCCAGACCAGGGCTCGAACCCGTGTCCCCTGCATTGGCAGGTGGATTCTTAACCACTGAGCCACCAGGGAAGTCCACCTCATCCCTTTTTGATCAATCACCAATAGCAGGTTACAGAGTCTAGGGATCCAGGCAGAAGCTTAAGTGGTGGTATAAAAAGTAATTTAAAAAAAACTTTTAAATTTGAAATTATTTCAGGTTTACAGTAATTGATGGAAATGTGTTAATCTTCCACTGTCATCCTAGATTTGTCTTATTCTCCATATTGATGTTTTTGCTTTATGCATTTTGAGACTATTTTATTTGGTGATTCATATTTAAGATTGTTGTAGTAGTCTGGTGAATCAGATATTTGAAATCATATAATAACCTGCACTATCCCTATTGATGTTTAGCATGTATTTTTTTTTTAGTATTGTCTTTCTTTTGATTAGAATTTGCTTGATATCTCTTTCTATCCCTGTACCATTAGCCATTCCATGGCCTATGCTTTAGGTATTTGTCTTAGAAACAGAGTATAGCTATTATTAGGTTTTATTTTATTTTTAGTTGAATCTGACAGTCACTTTTTGTGTGTGTGTGTGGTACGCGGGCCTCTCACTGTTGTGGCCTCTCCCGTTGCGGAGCACAGGCTCAGGACACGCAGGCTCAGCGGCCATGGCTCACAGGGCTAGCCGCTTCGCGGCATGTGGGATCTTCCCAGACCAGGGCACGAACCCGTGTCCCCTGCATCGGCAGGCGAACTCTCAACCACTGCGCCACCAGGGAAGCCGTGACAGTCACTTTTAATTGGCCTTAAAATGATCCACTTCCCAGGATCATACCAGCCCCTCTTGAAGTTTCTGGCTGAAACTCGATTTCCCTCCTCTCTGGTTATTTGAAGCCACAGTATCTGCATAGCACTGTTGATTTAGTAATCTCAATCTCACTGGACTTAAATGGAATAATTCTAATATTTTAGGTGTGCTGTCGTCAGTCAACATGTTTGTATATAGTAAATATTTAGTGAATTATTTTAATGTATTTATCATTAAATTTTTCCTTGTAATATTAGTTGGTTAATTTATAAACCATCTTTTTTAAACTTTCTATTTTAGTCCCAGAAATCCTGGATAGAAAGCACTTTGACCAAGAGGGAATGTGTATACATTATACCAAGTTCAAAAGACCCTCACAGGTAAGCATACTTCTCTTTCTTCTGGGTTCTTCTAGAAATAAATAAATAAATAAATTTATTTACCTACCTACCTACCTTATATTTTTGGCTACGTTGGGTCTTAATTGTGGCACACGAGATCTTCGTTGAGGCATGCAGGATCTTTCATTACGGAGCACAGTCTCTTTGTTGCGGCACTTGGGCTTCTCTTTAGTTGCGGTGTGTGGGATTTTTGTCTCTAGTTGTGGTGCGAGGGCTCCAGTGCACATGGGCTCTGTAGCTGTGGTGCGCGGGCTGTCTTGTCGAGGTGCGTGGGCTTAGTTGCCGCGTGGCATGTGGGATCTTAGTTCCCTGACCAGGGATTGAACCTGCGTCTGCTGCATTGGAAGGCGGATTCTTTACCACTGGACCACCAAGGAAGTCCCTCTTCTAGAAATTTAGATGTAAATTATATTGCTATTTATTTATTAAAAATTTAAATTATTAATTATTTGTAGTTACTGTTAACTTTTGTGCTTACTGTTAATTATTCTTTTAGGATTAGGAGAAGGAGCTATCATCGCAAAATATCAGTGTTCTGGAGTTCTTAATTACATTTCACAACATAAAACCTCTTCTTCAAAGTTGTTCCATCCCTAATCTCCCCCATATCATACTAGTGTATTACAAAGACAGTTAAGGCTCTCTTTTTTAATTGATTCACTGATACTGAGAACTTAAAAAAGTTTGTATATCGGTTTAATGGGCATCTACTGAGTGCCCAACACTATGGTTTATGCTGAAGAAACCAATATGAACCTAATAGTTGCTGGTTTTGTTTGCCAAAATATAGCTATAATGAGCACTTAGTGGAAAACCTATCACCAGAGATTCTGTTGGCATCTCTGATTGTCTTTTGGTCTTTAAAATGGCTTTGATAATAGAAAAAATTTTAAGTAAAGGACAGTAGTTAGAATTCAAGAAAAAGACCTGTTGAGGTATTTATTGAAGAAATATTTTTCCTAATATTTTTCTTTTTCTTTAGACCTAAAAATAGCAAGAAGCTTAAAAGGGTAAATCAAAAATACAGTTATTTTCTGGCCTACAGAGCACCTCTTTTCACAGGCACTTAGGAAAAATTAATTGAAAAAGGCATTTACAAGGATTTTTAGTCTTCTTACCTTTGCTGTCTCCTGTTAAACCCTGTTTGCTATGTAGTAATCTTCTCTGCAACTTTACTTCCATTTACTATATGGCTCTTATGAAAATACAGCCAAGTAGGTAATCTTTTATTAACTGATGTATTTTAAATTTTAGCACCTGTCACCATTATTGTCCATAGTGAGTTTTTGGTAAATATTTGTTGAATAGAATTTCTGAACCTTTTGTTTGTTACATTACATAAACCTGCTGTTTGAATTCAGCATTTCTCTTTTTTTTTAAACAGCAAAAAATACCTATTTTGAATATATCTCTCACTTAAACAAATTTCCATTATAAGAGGAATGTGCATGATAACTTTTGGAAAGTTTTGAGATGCAGAAAGTAGGCTCAGGGACTTCCCTTGTGGCGCAGTGGTTAAGAATCCACCTGCCAATGCAGGGGACACGGGTTTGATCCCTGGTCCAGGAAGTTGTCACATGCGGCAGAGCATCTAAGCCTGTGTGCCCCAACTACTGAGACTGTGCTGTAGAGCCTGCGAGCCACAGCTACTGAAGCCCGTGCACCTAGAGACCGTGCTCCGCAACAAGAGAAACCACTGCAATGAGAAGCCCATGCACCGCAATGAAGAGTAGCCCCCGCTCGCCACAACCAGAGAAAGCCCGCACACAGCAGCCAAAACCCAGAGCAGCCAAAAATAAATAAATAAATAAATAAATTTATTTAATTAAAAAAGTTACTCTATCATTAAAAAAAAGAAAGTAGGCACAATACTCAGTTTCAAAACATGAAGACAGTCATTATTAATAACATTAATTGCACCTATTTTTAATCTTTTCTCAGTGCATAGCTTTCGTTTTAAAATATAGCTAAATTCAGTCTATACGTAAAGCTTTGAATCTGCTTTTTAACAAAATGTTATAGTAATTACATTTTTTCATGTTATAGATATTTTATAAGAACGGTAGTTAATATTCTGTTAGTGTATGTATCACAATTCATATACCTATCCTAATCTTTGCCGTTTGAGTTATTTTCAGTTTTTAGCATTATAAATTAAAATTAGGTCACAGTGGAGATCTTAGTGGATAAAACTTTTTTGTGTTTAAAGTTTTATTCCCGCTTAGTATGTGTAATGCCAAAAAAACTTTACAAAAGATAAAAGAATACACATTATCACCAGTAGTGACGAGATTGCCTGAATATTGACTAGAGTATTATGATCCATCATCTTCAAGAAAAAGTGATGAGTAGAAAATAGTGTATTAAATTTGCATTTATTTGATTACTGTTGAGAAAACATTTTTAATATTCTTTAATATTCCCCCAGTTTTTGTTAATTTCTGTAAATGTCTTTTTAGATCATTAAAATAGATAACCTTAATGTCTCTTCCAATCATTATTCTATGATTTATTTGTATTTCTTACTAATTATTAAAGATAGGTTTTATTACAAGATAAGATTACATTTGTTAACCAGAGAGCATAAGTGACATTTCCCAGGTCACATGGCTAATAATTCATAAAGATTGGATTAGAATTTAGATCTGCCAGCTCTAAATAAGACTGTGTTGTTCTTCCATTTAGAGAAAATTATGGTTTTGCTTTATTAAAAAATAGATTGTATTATCATTAAGGAGCTTATTTCTTGTAATTTTGTTAATTTTACTTTGCAGTAGAAATAATACAAGTCCTCATTAGGTGTTAAAGAAATCTCAAGCTGTTATTAAATACCCTTGCCTGTAGCCATCCATATGAGACCTAATTTACAAACACCATTAGCTGGTCATTTTTTCCTACACTAATTGGATTTTAAAGTTAATTTAATATGAATAGGTTAATCATTGATTTACAAGGTACCAAAAATTATAAGTGAAAGCCTCGTTTTTACCACTGTGCCTTAACTATAAGTTCCCCTCCCTAAAGGAAACTGGTGTTACCTATCCCTTGGGATACCTTTCAGAAATAGATATACTCTTTGTCTGACCAAGCAGATGTATATTTATTCCTCCCTCTTCCCTTTTAAATACATACTGTTTATCTCGTGTTTATTATCTTGGCAATAACCACTTTGCTCTTAATTTTTGCATCCTTTTTAATTATATATCTGGATCATAATTTTAGTATTCCCTTAGGACATTTTAGCTATTCTGTTTTTTTGCTGTTAGAAAAAAAAAAATTCTGTTGGGTTTTTTCAGCAGTAGCCATCCCTGACTCCTTGTTTGGTACCTTACAATAAATGCTGCTCTTTCCTTCACCACAATAAATAAATAAATAGATAAACAAATGAATGAATGAATGAATGAAAAAAAATTCTGTAGTGAATAACCTTATAAGTGAATCATTTTACACATATGCTGTAGATATTTTTTAACCTTCACTCTTAGTACTTTAGACTTAGAGAAAGAGTCTGCATTTTTCATTTTGATAAGTATTGCCAAATTGCCCTCCATAGAGAGTTTATCAATTTATACTCCTCCCAGCAGATACGAGGCTACTTTCCTCTATATTCTCACCAAGATATTGTCTTAAAGGATTAAAAAAATTATTTTTCTAATCAAATACCTTTTCATGTTTGTTTTTACTGTGAATTATCTGTTTATATATTTTCCTATTTTATATTGATTCAATGAAGCTCATATATTAGGAAAACTAACATTTTGTCTGCAAATATTTTTTCTCAGTTTACCTTTAGACTTTATGAGTGACATATTTTTGCCACATAAAAATGTTGTATTTTTTATGTAGTTACATCTGTCAGTCTTTTCTCTTATGGTTTCTGGGTTTTAAGTCACAACTAATTATATTTAAAATATGAAAATCATGTTAGTTTTAAAAAGTAGTTATTTGAATATGTAAATTAAGGTATAAATGTCTTGTGCTATCTACTGAAAAATTAAACTAAATACATAATTTTTCCTTTGTTTTGTATTTTTTTATGGATTTTATATAGTTTAAACTAAAAAAATTTTTTCCCTTTAAGTAATAGATTTACCTTGTTTTATAGGTGCCTTCCAGGATGTCAAATTTGTCAACAACTCGTCAGGTAATTTTCATAACTCCATTGCACAAATTTTGAAAAATAAAACTAATGTATAAAAAAAAATCAGAATACATTGGGATAAATTCACAGGCCATTATGTTTAAGGGTTACTTTACTCAGACTTGGGAGGTGAAGGATCAGGCAAAACTGCTTGAAACTCAAGTGTAGGTAATCTGAGCAGAGTTCTAAAGCTGAATGTGACTTAGGTAAAGATTGAGGGAAAGGGATTTTAGGCAGAGAGAACAGGATGTGGGAAGGCCTGGCAGTGAAAAAGATTATGGTTCTGTCAGGAAACTGCAGGCTGTAGAATGTAAGATGAATATTGGAGAGATCAGAGTCTGGAGAAATAAGTAGGGCCAGATCATTTAAGCTCTTTGTGTACTATGCCACACAGTTTTGATTTCATGTTAAAAGGGTATTATATAGGGAAGTAACATGTTTAGTTTTTTTTTTCTTTCCTCAATAAAAGCAGTTGGTATTTTGAGGAGATTGGATTGGGAGAAAAAAATAGTTTAGAAACTTTTGGAGTAATTCTGGCAAAAAATGAGAGCCTGAATTAAGATACTGGCTATGGTGATGAAGGAGAATTAGGCATATTTGAAGGGATTAATCAGACAAATTCAATAGGATTTGGTGGATGTATGGAGAAAGGGAAGATTTGAGGATGGTACCTAAATTTCTTACTTAGGCAACTAATTAAAGAGTAATGTTGTTCTTTTAAGCTGTGATGAAAGAAGACAAGAGGAAGATGAGAAGGTCTCTTGGTGGTGGGCTAGGAAAAGAAGTGCATAGAATATGTTCATTCAGATATATTGAGTTGTTTTAGCATCTCCAGTCCTGTTCATTTGTTCCTCTAGATGGGAAGTTTTCTGTCTGGTGTCTTTACACTCAGGCTGAAGAGCTTCCTTTAGCATTTGGTATAATGCAGATATATTGGAGAGGAATTTTCTCAGTTTGGTTTATCTGAAAATATGTTTATTTTACTCTCATTTTTAAAGGATATTTTCACTGAATGTGGAATTCTGAGTTGACACTTTTCTCATTCCAGTGCTTTGAAGATACCATTATATTGTCTTCTAGCTGTTGGTTTCTAGTGAGAAGTCAGCTGTCGTTAGTGTAGTTGCTCTCCTGTGTGTAATGGGTCTTTTTTTCCTCTGGCTATTTTAAGGATTCTTTTTTTTTCCCTGTAATTCTGGATTTCAACAGCAGGTTTATGATGTGCCTAGGAATGGTTCTTTTTGTACTTCTTGCATAAATATCTGCAAGTTCATATTTTTCACCAAATTTATAAGTTTTCAGCCATTGTTTCCTAAAATACTTTTCTGCCCCATTCTCTATCTCTCTTCCCTCAGAAACTCCAGTTATACATATATTAGATTGCTTGATATTTTCCACAAGTCACTGAGGCCCTGTTTCATTTTTATTTAATTAAAATAATTTTTCCCATTTATTAGATTAGATCATTTGTATTGATCTGTCTTCAGGTTCACTAACACTTATTTCTGCAATCTCCAATGCTGTTTTGCCCATCCAGTAGGAAGTAGATGCCCCAAACTAAATTTAGAAGACTGTATCATCAAATACTAATGTATTTATACTATTTTAATTCTATGGTGAAGGTATTAATTTACTGATATCCTAAAATCAAAAAGATTAATTTTCATACTCTGAGTTCATTTATTTTCGTATGGTTTTTCATTGACTAATTTTTTAAAAGGTCTTTTTAAAATTTTATTACTTTTTTCCTTTAGGTGTTTTTGTGGTCGCTTGGTCAAGCAACATGCTTGTTTTACTGCAAGTCTTGCCATGAAATACTCAGATGTGAAATTGGGTGACCATTTTAATCAGACATTAGAAGAGTGGTCTGTGGAAAAACATACAGAACAGAGCCCAACGGATGCTTATGGAGTCATAAATTTTCAAGGGGGTTCTCATTCCTACAGAGCTAAGGTATGTCATGTATTTGAGTTTCTTCATTTACCTTATTACCTAATAATATACGTTTATTACCTGACAATAATATTGTGTCAGAAAATTAGTTTCAATCATTTCCTTATGTATTTTGAAGTTCTTTGTATAGGTACATATATGAATATAGAATTGTTATATCTTGTTGAATGGAACCTTTTTTTTTTAGTTTAGTCTACTATCTCACTTTTTCTTTTCTTTTTGGTCTTTTGGATTAAGTATTTTTTTATTAAGCTTTCCTTCTTTATAGCATTTTATTTATACATTGTTTCTCTATTCTTTAGCTTAATCTTATAATAAATACTATAAAATGCATTTATAACTTGTTACTATTATAAATTAGTAGTTTTACCACTTCCTGGACAACGCAAGAAAGTTTAGAATACTTGTGACTACATTTTTTTCCCTCATGACTAATGTGCTCTCGTTGGCATGAATTTTATTTCTTCGTGTATTAAACTTCCAAATCATAATTATTATTCATTTAGATGTATCAACATATTATCCCTTAGATTGTTCCACCTGCCTCCCTCCCTGCCTTGATTTGATAAGCAGTGCCAAATGTTGGGCCTGTCTCTCCATTTTTTCTATTCTCTTGGATCCTGATCCCACAAGTTGTCACTGCTTTGGTAGCTCACTGATAGCTTAACAACAGGTGTTATTTATCTAGTTTCTGGTTTCTTTAGTTCCCAGGGGCAGTTAGTCGAAAACAACCTAGTCCATCATTGTTGGAAATGGAATTCCTCATTTATTACTAACATAATCTTTTTTTAAAAAAAATTAACTTTAGATTGTTTTCCAAACACTACTTAATGTACCCAAGTATAATAATGAGTTAAACAGAACTAATGCAGAAAGACTTAGTACAGAACAAATCTCATTACAAATCATTCTTAACGGATTCTGGAGTCTTCTCAGTTTTATATAATTCTGATATTTTGGGATAATTTTCCTTGGTGTTTGATCTCTATTTGTAAAGGAATTGGCAATATGTTGTTTTGCAAAGAACCTTTATTAGAGATGATTAAAAGTGTTTTTCTGGGCTTCCCTGGTGGCGCAGTGGTTGAGAGTCCGCCTGCCGTTGCAGGGGACACGGGTTTGTGCCCCGGTCTGGGAAGATCCCACATGCCGCAGAGCGGCTAGGCCCATGAGCCATGGCCGCTGAGCCTGCGTGTCTGGAGCCTGTGCTCCGCAACGGGAGAGGCCACAACAGTAAGAGGCCTGTGTACCGCAAAAAAAAAAGTGTTTTTCTTCCAACATCTGAATATTTTAGATTTCTTATGAGCTAAGTCATAGGTGCTTTAGATAAAGAAAATGAATTACAGTAGTCATAGCAAGTAAATTTTGTGATGTCACTTACCAGAAAGATCATTTTTTTAAACTTTCAAACCAGAGGAACTTACTCCACAGATACGATAGCTTATTTTCTTATAGAATGATTTTTCAGAAATTAAAGTGGTGATTCCATCTGAACACCTTGAAATACTGAGCAAAATTTATTATTTTCAGCAATTTGTGAGTCAAATCCACAGTTACTTCCAGTGAAGGAAACAATCATCTGTATTAAAAAAAATCTGTGTTACTTTACTGCATAGTCACAATTCTGATCAATGGATTAGATCATTGATCAAACTTTCAAACAGATAATTCAGTATTTGCCTCTCATAGTTGCAAGAGTTGTAGAAGTCTCCATGTTTTCACCATTCTTCTCTTATTTTCCCTTTTCCCATCATCATACCTATCCTTAACACTTCTCACTCAATGCATACTTATAGTTAAACAAGGCAATGAGTACTGTGGATAAATTTGTAAATCAGATGAATGGTAATTAAGTTTATATAAACAGAAAGAGTAACAAATTTACATCTTGGTTTAAAAATTACAGTGCCAATACTTCTGTAGCTCTTATGGAATGATTTTCCAACTTTAAAATCATTTGCTATTGCTTATTCCTAGAAGTGTAAATACATTGCAAGTAGCCTGTGAAATCTATTTTATAATAATCTGATCCAAACAAAATTTTTCTTAAGTCATATAATGTTGCATTTTGAAACCTATGAATATTCAATTGTTAATTATTGTTTTAAAACCTTTTTTATTAGTATGTGAGGCTATCATATGACACCAAACCTGAAGTCATTCTACAACTTCTTCTTAAAGAATGGCAAATGGAATTACCCAAACTTGTTATCTCTGTACACGGTGGCATGCAGAAATTTGAGCTTCACCCACGAATCAAGCAGTTGCTTGGAAAGGGTCTTATTAAAGCTGCAGTTACAACTGGAGCCTGGATTTTAACAGGAGGAGTAAACACAGGTAATGTGATTATACCAATTTTATTTGGTGTGCTTGTAAATTCTTCATAATATCAATTAGATATTTGAAAAGTCAACACCGAATATAAATATATTCAATTCTTCTGTTAAATAATCTACTTCCTAAGTATAAATGCTAACTGAAAAAGTATTTGGTTTTCATTTATTCTTTTAAAAGAATAATATGGTTTATCATTCACTTTTTTAAAATTAAGACTTTATTTATTTATTTATTTCTGGCCATGCTGTGCGGCCTGTGGGATCTTAGTTCCCGGACCAGGGATTGAATCCGGGACCCCCGTCCCTCCGTGAAAGCACCAAGTCCTAACCACTGGACCGCCAGGGAATCCCCAAGAATAATATGCTTTAGAGCAGGGGCTTGCAAACTGTGGCTCCATGCACCAAATCCAGCCTACTCCTTATTTTTGTAAATAAAGGTTTTTTGGAACACAGCCACACTCATTTGTTTTTGTATTGTTTTGTATCATACTTTTGTGCTACAAAAGCAGAGGTGAGTGGTCTGACAAAGACTGTATGCCCTGCAAAACCTAAAATATTTACAATTTGGTCCTTTATAAGAAAGTTTGCTGACTCCCTACTGTAAAGTGAAGTGTTGTTCTTGTCACTGTGTGACTACCGGTAAATTGAGAGAAGAATGGCAATTCATTGCCTAGACACTGGTAAGAAATAGCTTTTCAAATTAATTTTTAATGTACTATAATCTTTCATTCTAAGTCTTCCCTGTCAGATATACAGGTTGGATATATTGAAGGCAAATTAATTTTAATATCCAAAGTAAAACATAGTTATTATTTAAATTAGCTTGGAAAAATCTAATTTGTTATCAGCAACTGTGTTTTGAACCTCATTGTGTGTCAGGCACTCTTCTGGCTGCTGAAAATATATCATTCCACAAAATAAAATATTTACCTTCATGGAACTTATATTCTAGTGGGGAAGATGCAAACAACAAACATAACTAAATAGCGTATAATAAATTAGATGATAAGTGCTTTGGAGACACATGAAATACAGAGGAGGGATAGTGAGGGATGGTCGAGGGGACTTCATTGATAAGGTGACATTTGAGTAGAGATGTAAGGAAATGAAGTGAGCAAGGTAAGAATAATGTGGAGCAGAGCATTTAAAGGAGAAGTGGCAAGTGTTGGAAGAATAGTAAGAAAGGTCCAGTGTAGCTTGACTGGAATGAGCAAGGAGTGCCAAAGTGATGAAATCAGAAAATTATGGGTGAGTGGTGGTGGTGGTAGGCCTGGCGTGGGGTGGTGTGGTGAATAGCATGGGCAATAGACAGATCATCATATAAGGCCTTGTAGGCCGTTATAAGCACTATGACTTTTAATTGAATGAGAAGGGGAGGTTTTAAACAGAGAGTTGACAAGAGCAAAGATCACTTGAATGATGATTTAAAAATAGACTGTAAACAGGCAAGGCATCACTTGGAAGAACAGTGAAGGTGCTGTTTCCATTATCCATGTTAGGAATGAGATCTAATGCGTTATAAAAATCAAATCGAGTGATGCACTGGTTTGCTAGGGCTGCTATAATAAAGTACCACAGACTTGGTGGCTTAAACAAAAGAAATTTATTTTCTCACAGTTCTGGAGACCCAAGATCAAGATGTTAGCAGGTTTGGTTCCTCCTGAGGCATCTCTCCTTGACTCTCAGATGGCTCTCTTCTCCCTGTGTCCTCCTGTGGCCTTCCCTCTGTGCATGTGCATCCCTGGTGTCTCTTTTTGTGTCCAAATTTCCCCTTCTTATAAGGACACCAGTCAGATTGGAGTAGGGCCCACCCTAACAGCCTCATTTTCACATGATAACCTAAAGAACCTATTTCCAAATACAGTCACATTCTGAGGTACTGGGATTAGGATTGCAACATAGGAATTTTGGAAAGGTTACAGTTCAGTCCATAACAAGTGATAATGAGAAGTTGTGTGCTCTTTTGAATTATCTTTTCTACTTTCCTCCCAATTTTGACTCAGTTGGAAAACTTTTGTAGTTTTTTGTGAGCATGTGTGTTTTGCTTATAGTCCTGAGCCATACTCTTCTTTTTTTTTAAGATGATGTTTAGAGCAGTAACAAAAACTACAGTTAACATGAGGAATCTAAGAGAGGAGACTAGGCCTAACAACATGGTAAAAGTTTTACGTGTGTTTCAGGCAGTTGTAGTGATTTGACATTGTGGGTTTTTTTTTCTTTTTTGTCCTTGTATTTTCTTTTGTAAGTTTGTCTTTTGGACCTTGTTGCCTTTTATCTAGTGTATGTAAAGAAAAATACCACCAATTGTAATGTTATTGAGCAAAGGATTGTTCTGAACACTGTAAAGACTTCCAAATAAAATGAATTAAATTTTGTATGAACAGGTGTGGCAAAACATGTTGGTGATGCCCTTAAAGAACATACTTCCAGATCATCTCGAAAGATTTGCACTATCGGAATAGCTCCGTGGGGAGTGATTGAAAACAGAAATGATCTTGTTGGGAGAGATGTAAGAGTGCTTTTTAAAATTTCTTACATTTAAACTTATGTATAAACAAAATTAGAGCAAGAATAATGCGAAGTCAACCTAAAATATTCATGATCATACCACGACCGTTTCGAAAATGCATTCATAGATACAAAAAGTAGTGTTAATACATTGTTTCTGCCTTCTTTTGTATAACTATTTCACACCGTTTCCATGTCATGCCAGTCTTTGTAATTAAATTTTTAATGGCGACATTCTATTAAGAATTAATTGTATTGTCTGTAAGAGTAGTAATCAAATACCGGTGTTTTATTCACGTAGGTTAAAGACATGTGAATTGGTTATAGATATCTTTCAAGAGATTATTGAAAAGGAATTACTGAATTATAATGATCACTTTCAAGTGCAATTAAATTTCTAACATCAATTTTAAAGATTCTACTTATGACTGGAAAAATAACTATGACATTTGATTGCTTTTATTCAGTGTCCTTTATATATTTCACTTTATTCAGTAATAACTTAATAGTTTCTTCACATTGTTTATTTGCTTGTTTGCTGCTGTTTCCTTTCCATGGGATGATGAAATATGGTATATTCTGCAATGATAGCTGAAATACAATACTGTGGTTCAACCCATTATTGAATAATCTTCAGCTGCTTAAAAGCTCATGCTTTTTGATATATTCTTTTACATTTTCTATTTGTTGCTATGCATAAATAGAATCTTACCTCCTACTTGCCTTTACAGATTATTTCAAAATTTGTTTTTACTTTATATTAAATTTAATCCTGCCCACTAACTCTCATGTTTGCTATTGTTTAGGTGGTTGCTCCTTACCAAACGTTATTGAACCCTCTGAGCAAATTGAATGTTCTGAATAATCTACATTCCCATTTCATATTGGTGGATGATGGCACTGTTGGAAAGTATGGGGCAGAAGTCAGACTGAGAAGAGAACTTGAAAAAACTATTAATCAGCAAAGAATTCATGCTAGTAAGGGAATTTATAAATTTGTTGTTGTTGAAATTATCCTGGGCTGTAGTAATTGCGAGCAGCATTCTAAAAAAGGTAGACTGTTCTTTAAGTGTTCATTTCCTTATGTAGCAGGATAACATACAAAACAACCATGAATGACTGACCTTACACAAAATAAGATCTAGGAAAGGAAGTCTGAGATTAAATAGGGTACTCAGATAACAAAGCCAAAGCCACAGAGGTTCATTGGAAGCTTTGTTGCTATTGTAATCCCACTGCAGCTCAAGGAATTCAGAAATATTCTTAATGTATGACATATTCCAATACCCGACTTTGAAATTCAAGATTGAAGAGGAAAAATATACTTTATTGTGAAGTAAGAATCACCTTGCTTAAAGTTGATAACACGAGTAGGTATCACTCTTTGGTAGATAATGTCTTAAGAGTTGGTATTTTTGACACTGGTCTTCCTTTCTTTTTTTTTTTTTTTACATCTTTATTGGAGTATAATTGCTTTACAATGGTGTGTTAGTTTCTGCTTTATAACAAAGTGAATCAGCCATACATACACATATGTTCCCATATCTCTTCCCTCTTGCGTCTCCCTCCCTCCCACCCTCCCCATTCCACCCCTCCAGGTGATCACAAAGCACCAAGCTGATCCCCCTGTGCCGTGCGGCTGCCCCCCACCAGCTATCTGCCTTACATTTGGTAGTGTATATATGTCCATGCCTCTCTCTCGCTTTGTCACAGATTACCCTTCCCCCTCCCCATATCCTCAAGTCCATTCTCTAGTAGGTCTGTGTCTTTATTCCTGTCTTACACCTAGGTCCTTCATGACATTTCTTTTTCCTTAAATTCCATATATATGTGTTAGCATATGGTATTTGTCTTTCTCCTTCTGACTTACCTCAATCTGTATGACACACTCTATGTCTATCCACCTCATTACAAATAGCTCAATTTCATTTCTTTTTATGGCTGAGTAATATTCCATTGTATATATGTGCCACATCTTCTTTATCCATTCATCCGATGATGGACACTTAGGTTGTTTCCATCTCTGGGCTATTGTAAATAGAGCTGCAATGAACATTTTGGTACATGACTCTTTTTGAATTATGGTTTTCTCAGGGTATATGCCCAGTAGTGGGATTGCTGGGTCATATGGTAGTTCTATTTGTAGTTTTTTAAGGAACCTCCATACTGTTCTCCATAGTGGCTGTACCAGTTCACATTCCCACCATCAGTGCCAGAGTGTTCCCTTTTCTCCACACCCTCTCCAGCATTTATTGTTTCTAGATTTTTTTGATGATGGCCATTCTGACTGGTATAAGATGATATCTCATTGTAGTTTTGATTTTCATTTCTCTAATGATTAGTGATGTTGAGCATTCTTTCATGTGTTTGTTGGCTGGCAGTCTGTATATCTTCTTTGGAGAAATGTCTATTTAGGTCTTCTGTCCATTTTTGGATTGGGTTGTTTGTTTTTTGTTATTGAGCTGCATGAGCTGCTTATAAATTTTGGAGATTAATCCTTTGTCAGTTGCTTCATTTGCAAATATTTTCTCCCATTCTGAGGGTTGTCCTTTGGTCTTGTTTATGGTTTCCTTTGCTGTGCAAAAGCTTTGAAGTTTCATTAGGTCCCATTTATTTTTGTTTTTATTTCCATTTCTCTAGGAGGTGGGTCAAAAAGGATCTTGCTGTGATTTATGTCATACAGAGTGTTCTGCCTATGTTTTCTTCTAAGAGTTTGATAGTTTCTGGCCTTACATTTAGGTCTTTAATCCATTTTGAGCTTATTTTTGTGTATGGTTTTAGGGAGTGATCTAATCTCAAACTTTTACATGTACCTGTCCAGTTTTCCCAACACCACTTATTGAAGAGGCTGTCCTTCTCCACTGTACATTCCTGCCTCCTTTATCAAAGATAAGGTGACCATATGTGCGTGGGTTTATCTCTGGGCTTTCTATCCTGTTCCATTTATCTATCTTTCTGTTTTTGTGCCAGTACCGTACTGTCTTGATTACTGTAGCATTGTAGTATAGTCTGAAGTCAGGGAGCCTGATTCCTCCAGCTCCGTTTTTCATTCTCAAGATTGCTTTGGCTATTCGGGGTCTTTTGAGTTTCCATACAAATTATGAAATTTTTTGTTCTAGTTCTGTGAAAAATGCCATTGGTAGTTTGATAGGGATTGCATTGAATCTGTAGATTGCTTTGGGTAGTGGAGTCATTTTCGCAATGTTGATTCTTCCAAGCCAAGAACATGGTATATCTGTCCGTCTATTTGTATCATGTTTAATTTCTTTCATCAGTGTCTTATAATTTTCTGCATACAGGTCTTTTGTCTCCTTAGGTAGGTTTATTCCTAGATATTATATTCTTTTTGTTTCAGTGGTAAATGTGAGTGATTTCTTGATTTCACTTTCAGATTTTTCATCATTAGTGTATAGGAATGCCAGAGATTTCTGTGCATTAATTTTGTATCCTGCTTCTTTACCAAATTCATTGATTAGCTCTAGTAGTTTTCTGGTAGCATCTTTAGGATTCTCTATGTATAGTATCCTGTCATCTGCAAACAGTGACAGCTTTACTTCTTCTTTTCCGATTTGGATTCCTTTTATTTCCTTTTCTTCTCTGATTGCTGTGGCTAAAACTTCCAAAACTATGTTGAATAAGAGTGGTGAGAGTGGGCAACCTTGTCTTGTTCGTGATCTTAGTGGAAATGGTTTCAGTTTTTCACCATTGAGGACGGTGTTGGCTGTGGGTTTGTTATATATGGCCTTTATCATGTTGAGGAAAGTTCCCTCTATGCCTACTTTCGGCAGCGTTTTTATCGTAAATGGGTGTTGAATTTTGTCGAAAGCTTTCTCTGCATCTATTGAGATGATCATATGGTTTTTCTCCTTCAGTTTGTTAAGATGGTGTATCACGTTGATTGATTTGCGTATATTGAAGAATCCTTGCATTCCTGGAATAAACCCCACTTCATCATGGTGTATGATCCTTTTAATGTGCTGTTGGATTCTGTTTGCTAGTATTTTGTTGAGGATTTTTACATCTATGTTCATCAGTGATATTGGCCTGTAGTTTTCTTTCTTTGTGACATCCTTGTCTGGTTTTGGTATCAGGGTGATGGTGGCCTCGTAAAATGAGTTTGGGAGTGTTCCTCCCTCTGCTATATTTTGGAAGACTTTGAGAAGGATAGCTGTTAGCTCTTCTCTAAATGTTTGATAGAATTCGCCTGTGAAGCCATCTGGTCCTGGGCTTTTGTTTGTTGGAAGATTTTTAATCACACTTTCAATTTCAGTGCTTGTGATTGGTCTGTTCATATTTTCTCTTTCTTCCTGATTCAGTCTTGGCAGGTTGTGCATTTCTAAGAATTTGTCCATTTATTCCAGACTGTCCATTTTATTGGCATAGAGTTGCTTGTAGTAATCTCTCATGATCTTTTGTATTTCTGCAGTGTCAGTTGTTACTTCTCCTTTTTCATTTCTAATTCTATTGATTTGAGTCTTCTCCCTTTTTTTCTTGATGAGTCTGGCTAATGGTTTATCAATTTTGTTTATCTTCTCAATGAACCAGCTTTTAGTTTTATTGATCTTTGCTATCGTTTCCTTCATTTCTTTTTCATTTATTTCTGCTCTGATCTTTATGATTTCTTTCCGTCTGCTAACTTTGGGTGTTTTTGTTCTTCTTTCTCTGATTGCTTTAGGTGCAAGGTTAGGTTGTTTATTCGAGATGTTTCCTGTTTCTTAAGGTAGGATTGTATTGCTATAAACTTCCCTCTTAGAACTGCTTTTGCTGCATCCCATAGGTTTTGGGTCGTCATGTCTCCATTGTCATTTGTTTCTAGGTATTTTTAATTTCTCTTTGATTTCTTCAGTGATCACTTCGTTATTAAGTAGTGTATTGTTTAGTCTCCATGTGTTTGTATATTTTACAGATCTTTTCCTCTAATTGATATCTAGTCTCATAGCGTTTTGTTCGGAAAAGATACTTGATACGATTTCAATTTTGTTAACTTTACCAAGGCTTGATTTGTGACCCAAGATACGATCTATCCTGGAGAATGTTCCATGAGCACTCGAGAAAAAGTGTATTCTGTTGTTTTTGAATGGAATGTCCTGTAAATATCAATTAAGTCCATCGTGTTTAATGTATCATTTAAAGAATGTGTTTCCTTATTTATTTTCATTTTGGATGATCTGTGACTTGGTGAAAGTGGGATGTTAAAGTCCTTTACTATTAATGTGTTACTATCGATTTCCCCTTTTATGGCTGTTAGTATTTGCCTTATGTATTGAGGTGCTTCTATTTTGGGTGCATAAATATTTACAATTGTTATACCTTCTTCTTGGATTGATCCCTTGATCATTATGTAGTGTCCTTCTTTGTCTCTTCTAATAGTCTTTATTTCAAAGTCTATTTGGTCTGATATGGGAATTGCTACTCCAGCTTTCTTTTGGTTTCCATTTGCATGGAATATCTTTTTCCATCCCCTTACTTTCAGTCTGTATGTGTCTCTAGGTCTGAAGTGGGTCTCTTGTAGACAGAATATATATGGGTCTTGTTTTTGTATTCATTCAGCCAATCTGTGTCTTTTGGTGGGAGCATTTAGTCTGTTTACATTTAAGGTAATTATCGATATGTATGTTCCTATTCCCATTTTCTTAATTGTTTTGGGTTCGTTATTGTAGGTCTTTTCCTTCTCTTGTGTTTTTTGCCTAGAGAAGTTCCTTTAGCATTTGTTGTAAAGCTGGTTTGGTGGTGCTGAACTCTCTCAGCTTTTGCTTGTCTGTAAAGGTTTTAATTTCTCTATCAAATCTGAATGAGATCCTTGCTGGGTAGGGTATTCTTGGTTGCAGGTTTTTCTCCTTCATCACTTTAAATATGTCCTGCCACTCCCTTCTGGCTTGCAGAGTTTCTGCTGAAAGATCAGCTGTTAACCTTATGGGGATTCCCTTGTGTGTTATTTGCTGTTTTTCCCTTGCTGCTTTTAGTATGTTTTCTTTGTGTTTAATTTTTGACAGTTTGATTAATATGTGTCTTGGCGTATTTTTCCTTGGATTTATCCTGTATGGGACTCTCTGTGCTTCCTGGACTTGATTAACTATTTCCTATCCCACATTAGGGAAGTTTTCAACTATAATCTCTTCAAATATTTTCTCAGTCCCTTTCTTTTTCTCTTCTTCTTCTGGAACCCCTGTAATTCGAATGTTGGTGTGCTTAATGTTGTCCCAGAGGTCTCTGAGACTGTCCTCAGTTCTTTTCATTCTTTTTTCTTTATTCTGCTCTGCAGTAGTTATTTCCACTATTTTATCTTCCAGGTCACTTATCCGTTCTTCTGTCTCAGTTATTCTGCTATTGACCCATCTAGAGTATTTTTAATTTCATTTATTGTGTTGTTCATTGTTGCTTGTTTCATCTTTAGTTCTTCTAGGTCCTTGTTAACTGTTTCTTGCATTTTCTCTATTCTGTTTCCAACATTTTGGATCATCTTTACTGTCATTATTCTGAATTCTTTTTCAGGTTGACTGCCTGTTTCCTCTTCATTTGTTAGGTCTGGTGGGTTTTTATCTTGCTCCTTCATCTGCTGTGTGTTTTTCTGTCTTCTCATTTTGCTTATCTTACTGTGTTTGGGGTCTCCGTTTTGCAGGCTGCAGGTTTGTAGTTCCCGCTGTTTTTGGTGTCTGTCCCCAGTGGCTAAGGTTGGTTCAGTGGGTTGTGTAGGCTTCCTCGTGGAGGGGACTAGTGTCTGTGTTCTGGTTGGTGAGGCTGGTCTTGTCTTTCTGGTGGGCAGGTCCAGGTCTGGTGGTGTGTTTTGGGGTGTCTGTGGACTTATTATGATTTTAGGCAGCCTCTCTGCTAATGGGTGGGGTTGTGTTCCTGTCTTGCCAGTTGTTTGGCATAGGGTGTCCAGCACTGTAGCTTGCTGGTCGTTGAGTGAAGCTGGGTGTTGGTGTTGAGATGGAGATCTCTGGGAGATTTTCGCCATTTGATATTATGTGGAGCTGGGAGGTCTCTTGTTGACCAGTATCCTGAAGTTGGCTCTCCCACCTCAGAGGCACAGCACTGACTCCTGGTGGCAGCACGAAGAGCCTTTCATCCAGAGCCTTTTATCCACACGGCTCAGAATAAAAGGGAGGAAAAGTAGAAAGAAAGAATTAGAAGAAAGAAAGAAAGGAAGGAAGGAAGGAAAGAAGGGAGGGAGGAAGGAAGGAAGGAGGGATCGAGGGAAGGAAGGAAAAAAGAACGAAAAGATAAAGTAAGATAAAATAAAGTAAGATAAAATATAATAAAGTTATTAAAACAAAAAATATTAAGAAAAAATTAAAAAAAAAAACAACAGACAGATAGAACCCTAGGACAAATGGTGGAAGCAAAGCTATACAGACAAAATCTCACACAGAAGCATACACATACACATTGACAAAAAGTGGAAAAGGGGAAAGCATAAATCTTGCTCTCAAATGCCACCTCCTCAATTTGGGATGATTCGTTGTCTATTCATGTATTCCATAGATGCAGGGTACATCAAGTTGATTGTGGAGCTCTAATCCACTGCTTCTGAGGCTGCTGGGAGAGATTTCCCTTTCTCTTCTTTGTTCTCACAGCTCCTGGGGCTCTGCTTTGGATTTGGCCTCGCCTCTGCGTGTAGGTCTGTTCTTCGCTCAGACAGGACGGGGTTAAAGGAGCAGCTGCTTCGGGGACCCTGGCTCACTCAGGCGGGGGGGGGGGAGGGAGGGGCACGGAGTGCGGGGGGAGCTTGTGGCAGAGGCCGGCGTTGCATTGCACTAGACTGAGGCGCACCGTGCGTTCTCCCAGGGAAGTTGTCCCTGGATCCTGGGACCCTGGCAGTGGCGGGCTGCATAGGCTCCCCGGAAGGGGGTGTGTGGTTAGTGACCTGTGCTCGCACACAGGCTTTTTGGTGGCGGCAGCAGCAGCCTTAGCATCTCATGCCCGTCTCTGGGGTCCGTGCTGTTAGCCGCGGCTCGCGCCCGTCTCGAGCTCCTTTAAGCAGCGCTCTTAATCCCCTCTCCTTGCGCACCAGGAAACAAAGAGGGAAGAAAAAGTCTCTTGCCTCTTCGGCAGGTCCAGACTTTTCCCCAGACTCCCTCCCGGACTCCCTCCCGGCTAGCCGTGGTGCACTAACCCCCTGCAGGCTGTGTTCTAGCCGCCAACTCCAGTCCTCTCCCTGCGCTCCGACCGGAGCCCAAGCCTCAAGTCCCAGCCCCGCCCGCCCCGGCGGGTGAGCAGACAAGCCTCTCGGGCTGGTGAGTGCCGGTCGGTACCGATCCTCTGTGCGGGAATCTCCCCACTTTGCCCTCAGCACCCCTGTTGCTGTGCTTTCCTCCGCGGTCCCGAAGCTTTCCCCCTCCACCACCCGCAGTCTCCGCCCGCGAAGGGGCTTCCTAGCATGTGGAAACCTTTCCTCCTTCACAGCTCCCTCCCACTGATGCAGGTCCCGTCCCTATCCTTTTGTCTCTGTTTATTCTTTTTTCTTTTGCCCTACTCAGGTACGTGGGGAGTTTCTTGCCTTTTGGGAGGTCTGAGGTCTTCTGCCAGCGTTCAGTAGGTGTTCTGTAGGAGTTGTTCCACGTGTAGATGTGTTTCTGGTGTATCTGTGGGGAGGAAGGCTATCTCCGCATCTTACTCTTCTGCCATCTTCCCTTCGTCCTCTGGTCTTCCTTTCTGACCATGGTCAAACTTTCTGGTTCAACATCTGGATTTTTATTTCCAAAAAAAAAAAATTAATAATTTTAGGAGACCAAGGAGGTGAGCTCTATACTCAGAACAGTATTTTCAGATTATGATGGAGTCATAGCATCTCCTGAAAATTAGGAATATCTTAGAATCCTTCATACCCCACTAGGGAATGCCTATATTTTGGATTCTTTCACTGCAGTACAAGTTATTGTAAAACAAAAATTGGTATTCACTAAATTTTTTGTTACTCTTAATAGAGGTCTTGGATTTTTTTGATCTGTTTTTGTCTATGTAATCCTGATTCTGTTAATTTCTATATTAATGTCTCAATGCATTTGGAATCAAAAATAGACATTTTAAAAGTGATTAAAGACAAATACATATGAGAAGTTCAACTCATAAAGTATTAAAAAACTGAAAACCAAATTGGTGTTTTAATTTCTTGTCGAGTTAAAGTAGTGAAATATACAAAATAATTATTGCTTTTCAGTGAATATATAAATTATAGTGTGTGCCTCATTATATATTGGATTTTCTAATTTTGTTATTTAGAACAGACTTAAAGTCAGTGCAAAAGTAATTTATTTAGTATTTAATTTATTTATATCAGACTATATATCATGTTGAGTACATAAAATTAAGTCAGCACAGTCTTATAGGAAATTATATTTTGGCATTTTATTTTTGATTGAGTGAAAACTAAGATTAAATTACTGAATTTTGCCTAATATCATAATTAATCTTTTACCTTTTTTAAGGAATTGTTCAAGGTGTTCCTGTGGTGGCACTTATATTTGAGGGTGGGCCAAACGTTATCCTCACAGTTTTAGAATACCTTCAGGAAAGTCCTCCTGTTCCAGTCGTCGTATGTGAAGGAACAGGCAGGGCTGCAGATCTACTAGCATATATTCATAAACAGACAGAAGAAGGAGGGTAAGTGTATGATTACAACATATTTTTAATAATTTTATGTAAAGAAGCTGTGGTTTTTAGAATATTAGATTCATTTCAGTGTTTTAATAATATGAAAATACCTTCTTAAGTCTTGAGGAAATAGCCTGTCTGATACATTATTGGAATGAATTAAAATATAAGTCTTTGTAGTGGACAGTTTTCAAAGACCTGTTAAATAGACAGAGGCACGTATCTTTTGACGCAACAGTTCCATTTCTGATAATTGTTCCTACAAATGTACTTGCACACATGTGAAATAACATATATAAAGTTACTCAATACAGTGTTGTTTGTAACAGTAAAAGATTGGAACAAAATAGAACATTTATATCAAGGGGGCTAGATAAATAACTTAAGGTACATCTGCACAACGGAGTAGTTTGTAGTTACATCAGGTATCTGTATATTAGATTTGGAAAGATTACCAAAATATATATGTAAAAAAAGGAAAATGTACAGTAACATGTATATTTTGGCACCTTTTATGTAGGAAAAAAGACAAGGAGATAATTGTATGTATTGAAAGAGATCCTCAAACGTTATACAAAGTAATAGTGTTTCTTGAAAGCAGTTGAGATGGAATGGCTGATGGAAGACAGTGGGAAAGACACTTTCACTATGAATTTTCACAGTTTTATATTTTATATTATATCATATTTTTGAGCATGTAAATATATTCCGTATTGAGAAAAAGAAATAAAAATGCAAATGTGCTGATATTTAACACATTTTGTTAAAATACTGCTTTTTACACCATATTATCTTAAAATTATCTTTATACAATATCTTACATGATAAGATACTGTATAACTGATAACATTAACACATGCCTTATAAAAAAATTAGAAATAATTCAAAGAGAAAAATCACTCCATTCCATTTTCCACCCTTATGACTTATAGTAGGAGTCTAATGAAGGAGAAAATTTCACTCAGGATGAAGTATTTAATATTAATACAGTGTCTTTAAATGTCTTGCCTGGATCCACTAGGACTTGATATTAGATTCTGCAAATAATGGAATTTGAAATCTGGATTGAGTTATGTTTCCTCTTACTTCAGGAATCTTCATGATGCAGCAGAGCCTGATATTATTTCAACCATCAAAAAAACATTTAACTTTGGCCAGAGTGAAGCAGTTCATTTATTTCAAACACTGATGGAATGTATGAAAAGAAAGGAGCTCGTAAGTACATTTCACAGAATAAGCCTTTTTTTTTTTAATATAAATTTATTTTGGCTGCATTGGGTCTCCATTGCTGTGCGCAGGCTTTCTCTAGCTGCAGTGAGCGGGGGCTACTCTTTGTTGTGGTGAGTGGGCTTCTCATTGTGGTGGCTTCTCTTGTTGCGGAGCACAGGCTCTAGGCACATGGGCTTCAGTAGCTGTGGCACGTGGGCTCAGTAGTTGTGGCACACGGGCCCTAGAGCACAGGCTGAGTAGTTGTGGCGCACAGGCTTAGTTGCTCTGCGTGTGGGATATTCCCGGACCAGGGCTTGAATCCGTGTCCCCCTGCATTGGTAGGTGGATTCTTAACCACTGCGCCACCAGGGAGGCCCAGAATAAGCCTTTTTATTTCATTCAGAGTACATTCTAAATTGGATAAATGCTTTTTTATTTTTTTAATTTTTTATTTTTATTTTATTTTTTTTATTTTTTGCGGTACGCAGGCCTCCCACTGCCGCGGCCTCCCCCGTTGCGAAGCACAGACTCCGGATGCGCAGGCTCAGCTGCCACGGCTCACGGGCCCAGCCGCTTCGCAGCATGTGGGATCTTCCCAGACCGGGGCGCGAACCCATGTCCCCTGCATCGGCAGGCGGACTCTCAGCCACTGCGCCACCAGGGAAGCCCTGGATAAATGCTTTTTAATTAATTAATTAATTTTTGGCTGTTCCCCATGGCTTATGGTATCTTAGTTCCCTGACCAGGGATTGAACCCAGGCCCTCTGCAGTGAAAGCATGGAGTCCTAACCACTGGACCTCCAGAGAATTCCCAGTTGGAGAAATACTTTTTTAAAAACTTTGGATTTAAAATTTTAAAATCTTTTCTAACCATGTAAAGATGTCATTTATAATTTTGTTCAAGCTAAGAGATAGCATAGAAGGATTATAGGTTTTTTTTAAAAATTATTTTATTTATTTATTCACTTTGGCTGGGTTGGGTCTCTGTTGCTGCGCGCGGGCTCTCTCTAGTTGCTGTGAGCGGGGGCTGCTCTTCATTGTGGTGTGTGGGCTTCTCATTGTGGTGGCTTCTCTTGTTGTGGAGCAGGGGCTCTAGGCGCACGGGCTTCCGTAGTTGCAGCACGTGGGCTCAGTAGTTGTGACTCATGGGCTCTAGAGCACAGGCTCAGTAGTTGTGGCGCATGGGCTTAGTTGCTCCGCTGCATGTGGGATCCTCCCGGACCAGGGATTGAACCCGTGTCCCCTGCATTGGCAGGCGGATTCTCAACCACTGCGCCACCAGGGAAGCCCCTAGAATATAGTTTTTATATGGTGTGGAGACATGTATTACACTTGTATTTTTGGAAAAGTTTCATAACTAAGCCTCAGTAGATTATGTTCAGGATCAAGGAAGAACTCTAAAGAGTTATTATTGGCTTCTCTAAAATATATTTGGAGGAAAAAACCCTATTTTCCTCTGAGTGAGTGCTCAAATTAAAGATCAGTGCTGCTTCACTATTGATACTATGTGTAAAACAGATAACTAATGAGAACCTGCTGTATAGTATAGCACAGGGAGCTCTACTCAGTGCTCTGTGGTGACCTAAATGAGAAGGAAATCCCAAAAAAGAGGGGATATATGTATACGTGTAGCTGTTTCACTTTGCTGTACAGTATAAACTAACACAATATTGTAAAGCAGTTATACTCCAATAAAAAAAAATAGAGACCAGTGTTGCTTAATTTCAGTCATCTAGACATGGGCTTAAGTTTACAGAGACAAAAAATTTTTACAGTTCTCTACGTAGGTGGATGATAACATGGTTTGATCTGCAGTTTTCTTCCATGCATTTCGTTTTTGTATACTATGAAATGAAGTTAGTTGAAAAATTTGTATTGGGGTTATAACAACAGACTTTTACTTTATGAAAAGATTATTAAATGAAAACCTCTCTCTAATAGTATTATGTTTCAAATAATTTTAAATAAATTTCCAGTAAAAGGATTCAACAAAACACTTCTCATTCAAGAACACATATATTTACTTGAACTGAGTGAGTGTCCACTCTGCAGAAGAAACAGCAGGATTTACTCAGATTAGTAATTTATAGCCTTAGCTCATAAATTGCTTATTCTAGTAATGGACATAAAATATATAAAAAATTAATATAATATGAAACCAAACATTTTGAATATACTTGAATTTTATTTTTTTTAAATTTATTATTTATTTTTAGCTGCATTGGGTCTTCGTTGCTGCGCGTGGGCTTTTTCTAGTTGCAGCGAGTGGGGGCTACTCTTCGTTGCAGTGTGTGGGCTTCTCATTGCAGTGGCTTCTCTTGTTGCGGAACACAGGCTCTAGGCGCGCGGCCTTCAGTAGTTGTGGCACGTGGGCTCAGTAATTGTGGCACACGGGCTCTAGAGCACAGGCTCAATAGTTGTGGTACCCAGGCTTAGTTGCTCCGCGGCATGTGGGATCTTCCTGGACAAGGAATCAAACTCGTGTCCCCTGCATTGGCAGGTGGATTCTTAACCACTGTGCCACCTGGGAAGTCCCTACTTGAATTTTATTTGGTAAATGATACAAATTCTTTAATTTTCTGTGTTTTGATTGTAATGAAATTATTCCTGACTCAAAAAAACTATATCTGCCAAGTAGTTTGCAGTTACTTTGCGATTTATATGCCTTATGTCTTAGCTTATAAAATATAAAGGCATAATATTATGAATTGATCTTTAAATAGATTACTGTTTTCCACATTGGATCAGATGAACATCAAGATATAGATGTAGCAATACTTACTGCACTGCTTAAAGGTAAGACTTAAAATTCATTTGTTAGGTCTTTCATTTATAGTGTTTTTATATAAGTTAGGATTTTTTAATTTGACTAAATGTTTGAGAACTGAATTTTTCAATAGTTTTTCTTTGAAAAAGACACAGTGTTCACTTTCTTTGACAAATTTGCTTTTGTTTTTAATCTTACAACTTTTTAAAAAGTTCATACCGGGATTTATGCCATTAGACCTATTTAATTATCCTGTTAAGAATGTGTCAAACATGTCATATTTTTAATTGGCTGAAAAATAATTGTTTAAAAGTAATAGAGTATTAGTTAATAGAAATTAAGGTTAGCATTCTTAAATGTGCTATTTTCATTAGGGAGGAAAATTTGGAAAGAAAACTAATGGTATCTTCTAGGACTAAGGGGTTAATGCACACGCAGTTGAATTGTTTTCCTCTTATTATCTTTCCAAAGACATCTAACTGATAAGACAAACAATACTATAGTGAAAAATCTTTTCAAAAATTAGAAATTAAAATGTTGTTTTGTCTGAGTACCTGAAAGTCCAAGTATGCAGTGAGGTGGCAGAAGCAGAGCAAGAGGGCACTATCTTATCATTCACAAGAATTTCCCAAATATTAGACTACAATGAATTGCCAATAGATCAGACATTTGAAAAATACTATAATAAAATATAACATATTTACATCATCTGAGAATAAGAGATCATAAGTAATAGGAAGCCTAGAAACCATAAAGGGAAAGATCAATAAATGCGATTGCATAAAAATAAAAAATAAAAAGAGAGCACCTAATATTTGCTGTGTACTTTCTGTGTACTAGCTACTGTGCTTTAGTGGTTTATGTTGTTTACCCTTGTGACAGCCTTAAGATGAAGATTTCCTATTATTTTCCTCATTTTATAGATGAGAAAACTAAGAACAGGAATGTGGAAGGATCACAAAAAGGTGTTGTAAATTAGTAATAAAAAGATGAATACCTCATGGAAAAATGAGTCAAAATTTAAGTAAAAGATTTTAGCAGAATACAGATACTTGGGGGAAATGTGGAAATGATGGAAAGATGTTATAATTTTTAAAAAAACATAAATTAAAAAAAAAAGCTTTTTATCCTCCTACTGGGTATTTGTATACTCCTGATGGATGATATAACCTTTCTGTAATATATTTTGGCAGTGTGTCAAAAGCTTTAAATTATATACCCTTCTACGCAGCAATTTGGCTTCTACAGATTCATCCTGTTAAATATGTGCACAAAGATACACTTACCAGAAAATTCAAAATAACGTGAAATGTCCACTAGTTAGAATATTTGTTGAATAAATTTTAGTTCACCTTTAAAAGGTATTTATATATATATAAGGTACATCTGTATGTACTGTTATTGAAAACTAAATATGATACATAAAGCAGGCTGAGTATTTTGTATAGTATGACCTGCTTTTGCATAAACAATTAAAAGTATATGTATGAACTTATATATGCACAGAAAACACCTGTAAGGATATTTTTCATAATATTAATAGTCAATACTATCGCTGTGATAGAAACAGATCATCTTTCTTTTCTGTTCATTCTTGTGCATTCTGAATTGTTTGCGATGGATGAGGCTGTGTCTTTTCTATAGTTGGAAAATAAAAGTCCTCAACCCTGGGGTAACCTTATCTTTCTGAGGCAGGCTACCTCTGAATAGTGACTAACACCAGCTGTGTAAGTTAATTAAAGGGGGAGGAGGGGAATTCATAAGTGTTCATATTTTATGGAGATAAATTAATTGAACTTGTCGACTGTTTTCTTTATTTGATTAGGCACTAATGCATCTGCATTTGACCAGCTCATCCTTACATTGGCATGGGATAGAGTTGACATTGCCAAAAATCATGTATTTGTTTATGGACAGCAGTGGCTGGTATGTAAATAATCTATATAAACAGTGTAATTTAATTAAGCTAAGTTAATATCAAAGTATTTGCTGAAACTGTTACCTAACTTGACATTTACCTGTCAGTCAAAAGTGCAAACTTACTGTAGCCAAACATTTCTGCAACATTCAGATCCATTTAGGATTTAATAAGTTCTATTTGCCTCTTGATAAAAACTGTGTTTTTTATAGGGTATAGATCTTTAAAAATCCTGTAACTGAAAAAAGTTTTAGAAATAGTGCTCTTTGCATCTGTGTTTGTCAGGAATGTTGGCCTGTAATTTTCTTTTCTTCTGGGGTCCTTGTCTGGTTTTGGTATCAGAGTAATGCTGGACTCATAAAATGAGTTTGGAAGAGTTTGAAAAGGATTGGTATTAGTTCTTTGAATGTTTGGTTAAATTCACCAGTGAAGCTGTCTGGTCCTTACTAGTAATCAGACTGTTCAGAATTTCTATTTCATCATGATTTGGTCTTGATAGGTTGTATGTTTCTAGGAATTTATCTGTTTCTTCTAGGCTGTCCAGTTTGTTGGCATGTAATTGTTCATATTAACCTCTTAATGATCCTTTGTATTTCTGTGGTATCAGTTGTAACATCTGTTTCATTTTTGATTTTATTTATTTGAGTCCTCTCTTTTTTTTCTTCCTGAGTCTAGCTAAGGGTTTGTCAATTTTATCTTTTCAGAGAACTAGTTCTAGTTTCATTCTAGTTGTCTTTTCAATCTGTTTCATTTATATCTGTTCTAATTTTCGTTACTTTCTTCCTTCTACTAACTTTGAGTATCGTTTGTTCTTCTTTTTGTGGTTTCTTGAGGTGTAAAGTTAGGTTATTTGAGACTTTTCTTGTTTTTTGAGGTAGGCATTTATTGCTGTGAACTTCCCTGTTGGAACTGCTTTTGCTGCATCCCACAAATTTTGGTATGTTATATTTCCATTTTTGTTTCTCTCAAGGTACTTTTTATTTATTTATTTATTTGGCTGCGTTGGGTCTTTGTTGCTGTGCGCGGGCTTTCCTCTGGTTGCGGCGAGCGGGGTCCACTCTTCGTTGCAGTGTGCGGGCTTCTCATTGCAGTGGCTTCTCTTGTTTCGGAGCACGGGCTCTAGGCACATGGGCTTCAGTAGTTGTGGCACGCGGGGTCAGTAGTTGTGGCACACAAGCTCTAGAGTTCAGGCTCAGTAGTTGTGGTGCACGGGCTTAGTTGCTCTGTGGCATGTGGGATCTTCCTGGGCCAGGGCTCGAACACGTGTCCCCTGCATTGGCAGGCAGATGCTTAACCACTGCGCCACCAGGGAAGCCCTCTCAAGGTACTTCTTAATTTCTCTTTTGATTTCTTCTTTGACCCATTGGTTGTTGAGTAGTATGTTGTTTGATCTTCATGTATTTATGAATTTTCCAGTTTTCTTTGTGTAATTTCTAGTTTCATACCATTGTGGTCAGAAAAGATGCTTGACATGATTTCAGTCTTCTTAAATTTATTAGGACTTGTTTTGTGCTCTAACATGGTCTGTCCTGCAGAATTTTCTGTGTGCACTTGAGAAGAATGTGTATTCTCTTGCTTTTGGATGGAACGTTCTGTATATCTGTTAAGTCCGTTGGTCTAATGTGTCATTTAAGGCTGATGTTTTCTTACTGATTGTCTGTCTGGATGATCTCTCCACTGATGTAAGTGGGTATTAAAGTCCTCTATTATTTTGTATTGCTGTCTGTTTCTCCCTTTAAGACTGTTAATATTTATTTTATGTATTTATATGATCCTATGATGGGTACATAAATATTTACATATATTGTATCTTCTTGTTGAATTGACCCCTTTATCATTATGTGCCATCCATCTTTGTTTCTTACTACAGTCTTTTTTTTAAAGTTTATTTTGTCTGATATAAGTAAGCTTCCTTTTGGTTTCCATTTGCATGGAATATCCTTTTCCATTTCTTCACTTTCAGTCTATATGTGTGTCTTTACATCTAAAGTGAGTGTCTTATAGGCAGCGTATAGATAGGTCTTGTGTTTTTATCCATTCAGCTACTCTGTGTGTTTGAATTGTTGAACTTAGTCCATTTACATTTAAAATAATTATTATAAGTATGTACTCACTGATATTTTGTTAATTGTTTTCTGACTGTTATTGTAGTTCCATTCTGTTCCTTTTTTCTCTGTCTCTTGCTCTCTTCTTTTATGATTTGATGACTTTACTGATATGCTTATATTTTTTTCTCTTTGTCTTTTGTGTATAGGTTTTTGCTTTGTGTTTACTATGAGGGTTACATATAATAACTTATATCTGTAATGTCTATTTTATGTTGATAACCATTTGTTTGATCCCATTCTAAATCTCAACATTTTTATTTTCCTCTTTTCTGTTTTTCATGTCACAGTTTACATCTTTTTACCTCGAGTATCCCTTAACTAATTATTGTAATCATGGCTATTTTTACTACTTTTGTCTTTCAACCTTTATTCTAACTTCATAAGTGATTAATCTACTATTTTTACTATATATTTACCTTTTCAGTGAGATTTCTTTCATGTGTTTTCTTGTTACTAATTACCACCCTTTCTTTTCAGCTTAAAAGACGCTCCTTTAACATTTCTTGAAAGGCTGGTTTAGTGGTAATCAACCCCTTTAGCTTTTGCTAGTTTGGAAAAGTCTTTCTCTCTTTCAATTCAGAATAAGAATTTTTGCCAGGTAGAGTATTCTTGGTTGGAAGTTTTTTCTTTCTGTACTTTGAATATATCATGCCACTCCCTTCTGGCCTGCAAAGTTTCTGCTGAAAAATATGCTGATAGTCTTATGGAGGTTCCCTTGTATGTAACAAGTTGTTTTTCTCTTGCTGCTTTTAATATTCTTTCCTTGTCTTTAACTTTTGGCATTTCAATTATGTGTCTTGGTGTGGGTCTCTATAGGTTCACCTTATTTGAAACTCTCTGAGCTTCCTGTATCTGGATGTCTGTTTTCTTCCCCAGGTTAGGAAAGTTTCAGCCATTATTTCTTCAAATACAATTTCTGCCCCTTTGTCTCTCTCTTCTTCTGGGAACCCTAAAATGTATCAGTCCATTTGATGTTGTCCCATAAGTCCCTTAAGCTAACTTAACTTTTTTAAAAGTTCTTTTTGCTACTCTGGGTGAATTATACTACCTTGTCTCCAAGTTGACAGATCCTTTCTTCTGCTTCATCTAGTCTGCTCTTGAACCCTGTTAGTGTATTTTTCAGTTCAGTTTTTTATTCTTCAGCTCTGTGACTTCTATTTGGTACTTTCTTAGATTTTCCATCTCTTTGTTGAAGTTCTCACTGTGTTCATTCTTTTCCACAATTTGGTGAGCATCATTATAATAATTACTTTGAACTCTATCAGGTAAATTACTTATCTCCATTTCATTGAGGTTTTTCCCTGAGGTTTTATCTTGTTCTTTCATTTGGAACATATTTCTCAGTTTCTCCATTTTACTTGACTGTGTTTTGGTTTCTGTACAGTAGATGAAATAACCACCTCTTCCAGTCTTGAAGAAGTAGCCTTGTGTAGGGGATGAGCCTTGTCAATCAACCTTGACTCAGCTTTTTGTTCTCTCTCAGACCTTTCTGCTTGTTTAAGCAACGTATTGTATTTTTACTAGCTCCCAGTAGTTGAGAATGTGCAGTTACCTATCAGGGTCCCTAAGGGAAGTATTTCAGCATCCAGATTCAGACTGACTGGAATCCATACCCTCAGACAACATCTTTTGAAAATCTTCAGAATATTTAGGAAACTGAATTCAACAATACTTTTAAAGGACCATATACCATAATCAAGTGGGATTATTCTGGGGATCTGCAAATCAGTCAACGTGATATATCACATTAAGAAAAACGATGATAAAAATCGTATAATCAACTCAGTGGATACAGAAAAAACATTTCACATGATTCTATATCCATTTATTATAAAGACTCTCAACAAAGCAGGTATAGAGGGAAGGCACCTCAACATAATAAAGGCATATATGACATAATAAAGGCCTACAGCTAACATCATATTCAATGGTGAAGAGTTGAAAGCTTTTCCTCTAAGAACAGGAACAAGACAAGGATGCCTGCTCTTGCTACTTTTATTCAGCATAGTATTGGAAGCCCTAGCCACAGTTAGGAAGGAAAAAGTAATAAAAGGCATCTAAATTGGAAAGAAAGAAATAAAACTGTCACTCTTTGCTGATGACATGATACTATGTGTAGAAAACCCTAAAGACTTCTCCAAAAAACTGTTAGAACTAATAAATGAGTTCAGCAAAGTTGTAGGATACAAAATAAATATGCATGAATTTGTTGTGTTTCTATACACTAATAACAAAATATCTGAAAGAGAAATTAAGAAAACAATCCCACTTGCAATTGCATCAAAAAGAATAAATTACCTAGGAATAAATTCAACCAAGGAGGTGAAAGATTTGTGAACTAAAAACTATAATATGTTGATGAAAGAAATTGAAGAAGATACAGAGAAATGGAAAGATATTTTGTGCTCATTGATTGGGAGAATTAGTATTGCTAAAATGTCTATACTACCCAAAGCAATCTACAGATTCCGTGCAATCTCTATCGAAATTCCAATGGCATTTTTCACAGAAATAAAACAAGCAATTCTAAAATTTGTATGGAACCACAAAAGATCCTGAATAGCCAAAACAATCTTGAGAAAGAAGAACAAAACTGGAGGCATTATGCTTCCTGATGTCAAACTGTGTCACAAAGCTATGGTAATTTAAACAGTATGGTATTGGCATAAAAATAGGTAAATAGGTCAGTGGAACAGAATAGAGAGCCCAGAAATAAACTCATGCACATATGGTCAATTAATTTACGACAGAGTAGTCAAGAATATATAATGGGAGAAGGACAGTGTTTTCAATTATTGATGTTGGGCAAATTGGACAGCCACATGCAGAAGACTGAAACTTGACCACTGTCTTATACCACACACAAAAATTAATTCAAAATGGATTAAAGACTTGAACATAAGACCTGAAACCATAAAACTTAAAAGAAAACATAGGTGGTAAGATCCTTGACATAGGTTTTGGTGATGATTTTTTTAATTAACCAGACTAATACAGGAATGTTATTGTTGGTAACTTAAAACCCATGGGGAACAGAAGAACACCCCTTACAAGTACAGGATAAGAAAAGAAAGGAGAGAAGACCAACTGAGCAATAGAGTAAAGGTTGTTAATGTTAGAATAAGTTAATAAGAAATCAGATTTTTATGTGGTACGAGAAAGTAGGAGATAATCTTAACTAAAATAGGAATAACATGCCATGATCAATTACAGGCTGTTAATATATGAGAAATTGAATACGTATTACATTCTTATAAGTTAGTTGTGCCTTGTTTTTAAGTGCGATGCCAAAATATTTTCCTTGTTATGAAATAGAACTGAGTGGTGAAAAAAAAAATGACAGAAAACATATCTGCCGTCTGATCATCATCCATCATGCATAAGGCATGCATTTAGTCTGTATACTAAAAAGATTTTGGAGACCCTATCCTTTGCAAAGTAATGGAAATCAAGGGTAGATTGGGTAAAGAAATGGTAATAGAAACTGCTGTAGAGAAGTTGTATAGTTGTATGGTAAACTTTTGAAGACAATAAAGATTTAAAAACAAGAGGTGAAAAAACTCAATGATTTTTTTAAAAATTTATTTTATTTATTTAATTTTGGCTGCGTTGGGTGTTTGTTGCTGCACGCGGGCTTTCACTAGTTGCGGGGAGTGGGGGCTACTCTTCGTTTGCCGTGTGCAGGCTTCTTATTGCAGTGGCTTCTCTTGTTGCAGAGCACGGGCTCTAGGCACGCAGGCTCAGTAGCTGTGGCTCATGGGCTCTAGAGTGCAGGCTCAGTAGTTGTGGCACACAGGCTTAGTTGCTCCACGGCATGTGGGATCTTCCCAGACCAGGGCTCGAACCCGTGTCCCCTGCATTGGCAGGCGGATTCTTAACCACTGCGCCACCAGGGAAGCCCAAACCCAGTGATTCTGGTATTGATTTTCACAAAGCTTTTTATCCTATGATACCAAAATATTTAAAATTATACAGAAGCAATGAGGTATTATTAAAATATTAATATATCAGTAATACTAAACATACTAATATTATTACATTAATAAGATGACTTTTATAATGCTTCTCAGTGAAATTTCTGTATTTGTGTCTTCACTGATTTTAGAGTATTTGATTCAGTGTCTGTTGAAGTCTGTAAAAGTGTCTCTAAAAACTTACAAGGGAGCGCTACAAATGCTGACTGATACATGTGTTATATTAAACTGCAGTGCCACATGTTGTATTGCTGTTAAGAGATATGATTTTTCTCTGACAGTGAATGGTTTCTGTTAAAGTTCTAAAGAAAACTAAGTACAATCTTTTCTGACTTACATAGTAGTTGTATTTTTGGAAAGTTTGTGACAGAATACTTTGTGTTTATATGTAAAGCAGAATTACTGGATTTTCATTTGTGAGAATCTAACAGGATAATAGAAAGTTGTATGAGATACAAGGCAATTCCTTTTTGAGTGACATTGTCTGGCATATTGCATGATTTCTGGTATCTTTTGACCGTGTCCATTAAATGTAGTAGTGGCCCCCAATTATTGAAATGATCCCTCTAAAAAACCTTTCTTAAACACTGAGAACCATTGCTCTAAGGTATTTTTCCCAAAATTTACTTGATGGTGGATTCTTTCTTGTTTTCCCCCCCCCATGTAACCCTTGCTGTCCTACAGAATGTTTTTTAGGGAATGCTACTCTAGTGAGGTCTTTTTATCTATTCCCTATATACCTTAAGTCCTAGTCTTTTATTACTTTGCATCTTTTTAATTTTGTTTTAAAACTGTTTAGGAACAAATATGTATAAATCCTAAGGACTTGCATGTAGAACTGTTTGTATAATTTTATTAATTTTGATACTGTTTTAGGTTGGATCCTTGGAACAAGCTATGCTTGATGCTCTTGTAATGGATAGAGTTGCATTTGTAAAACTTCTTATTGAAAATGGAGTAAGCATGCATAAATTCCTTACCATTCCTAGACTGGAAGAACTTTACAACACTGTAAGTGTATGTTAAAATTCTTTGTGGACTAAGTTTTATCATCTTTGGAAAGTGTCATTTTACCTGAGTATATTCATTCCTATTGGTAAAACCTTTAATATTTTGCTGGATTACATGGAAAAATTACAGCCAGTCTTAGTATAGATTGTTTATATGACAGTCTGAAACCCTTTCCCTGTTTCTGGAGACCTTCTCTGTCACCATAGCCACATAGGAAAGAGATGTAGTTAGTGTTAACCCTTTCCTTCACCTCAACCCTTTTTAAAACTATAAGATCAAGTTCTTAATTATAGAGTCATTATATTTCTTCTTTTTCTTGGTGGTCATTTGTTACACCAAATTTCTTTTGATTCCTTTGACCAATGGAGAAATTACACATTGCTTTTTCTTTTCTCCTTTTTGTTGTTTACATTCATGATTTTGACCTTGTGGTGTCGTACTTTCAGCTTACGTACTGTTTTTCAACTTTTCTTTTAAAGAGCTCCTGAAAACTAATTATTCCTTTTACAAAGCCTTTCTCATTTTGTTTCAAATTTCATATCACTAACATTGGAGAGGGTAAATACTACTCTTCTTAATGGTTTTTCATTACTAATAGAAGTATACCTTGAGGAGTACTAGGACCAAATCCTAGCTTTCTAACTTTGACTTCTCTGCAAAGCTGTTTCCTTTTATTTATCAGTTTCTACTTATTTATCTCTTTCTTTTCATTCCTAATGTCTTTGTACTACTCAATCATTTCCAGCCTATACTACTTCAGTAATCTAATTTCCTTGTCTATTTTCAGATCTTTAACCTAAATATTCTTATAGTGACATATTTTATCATATCTTTCCCCAGTTTAAAAACTTTTGATGGTTCCCCAGTATGTATAGAATAATACTCAAACCCTTCACTTGATTTTCAGAGCTCTTCAGCTTTTGAAATTTTGCCTCAGCTATCTCTCTCACTTGGCCTTTTAATTCCTATCTCCCACCTCCGCATAGTGGATATTTCAACTATGTCATCTACGTGCTATTTCCCCAAAATATAAACTTTTTAAAAAAGCATTAGTTGTTTACACAGTGCTGGTATGTGTTTTTCTTCCAGCTACTACTACCCACTTACTGGATTTTATTTTGTTTGGAACCTAGTTAAAATGCCAAGGCAGTACTACATTGAAGCCCAGTGGTGCAGTTTGTTAAGTACAGTTATGTCTTCCACTGTGGATTGTAAATTTCCTTTGAGTAGGGATTTGTTGGCGTTCTACTGTCTCTAGCAAATAGATGTAAAAATTATTCATTGTGCCGAAGTAAGGTTTATCCCTGAAATGTAAAGCAAATATAAAACACTAAAAATAAAAATTGATCCCATTAGCAAGGAAAGTAATTTTTTTAACTATATAACTCAAAGTTATTAAGATAATAGTTAACATTCAGCATCAATTATTGATAAAATTTTTTAAAGTTTAAGGGATTATATATAACATGATAAAGCAGTGGTTCTCAAACTTTTTGTTATCAAGATCCTATTACATAAAAATTATTGAGGACATCACAGAGCTGTTCTAGAGAGGTTTTGCTTATGTGTGTTGATATGTACCATATTGGAATGTAACACCAAGAAATTTTAAAAATATTTATTAATTTGTACTTCAATACAGATAATAAATCCATTACATGTTAATGTATAAAACATTTTTCAAGAAAACAAAAAAGAATTAGTGAGGAGAGCAGAATACTTTTATGGCTTACAAATCTCTTTAATGTCTGGTTTCATAGAAGGCAGCTGGATTCTCATGTTTGCTTTTGAATTTAATATCACACATCATGAAGCCTCTGGAAAACTCCACTGAACACTGAGAAAATGAGAATGAATAAATGCAAATAACATTTTAACATGATTCTGAAAACACTTTTGATCTCATGGGCCTCCTGAAAGGGTCTTGGGGGCCTTCAGGAGTCCCCAGATTGTACTTTTGAGAACTGCTGTGTTAAAGTATACTTATTTTTTACTAGGAAGCTATATTTAATGAATAAACATTAATGGATTAAGATAAAATAGAATTACAAAAATTGCGTTTCTCTCTGATTATATACTATTAGAGAAAATACAATTAAACTTCCTAATACTTAAAAAGTATGAAATAATTCACATTCACTTGGAAGACACATTTATTTTTTAACAATTAACTTACAGGCCTTCTGTCTTTATTTTTTATAATCCTTTGCATTTCAGAAATGTTTGAGCTGTAAATATTTTGTAAGTCTAAGTGCACTAAAATATTACCAATTTTTTGTAAATATTTCTACTAAGTTTCTTTATGTTAAAAATAAATGACATTTTAAATTAAAAAAAAATTAACTTACAGGGGAGAATGAGCTGAGGGAACTCAGCTCTTAAGTCTATAGACTAAATACTGTAAAAAGAATGCAGTATCAGTTATAGCCATCTTTAGATATTATATAGAATTTGAAAGCCAGTAATATCAAAGAAAATAATATTCTTTTCAAAGGAATAATAAGTTTACCCACTTAGATTTGAAAATGTATTACCAAGTATATGTAATCAAAATGGAGAAGTACATTGAATTGATTACTAAAATAACCTCATAAAAATTAACAGTAACACAGTGGTGGGAGAAAAATCTCATTTGGTATTTCTTTTAAACAATAGATTTAAAGTATTGACAATAATTCTCTTGATTTGTGCTACATAGAATCAATTGCAGTAAATTTCATATAGGTCAGAGCACTGTCCAAAAAGTTTAGAAGAATATCTTTTTGGCCCATTTATCTCAGTTTTGATGGGGAGACATATACTCCTGGGTATTTTTTCAAAATACAGGATACCATCAAAATAAGATTAATGTAAAAATGAAACTTGTCATTAGTCTACTGTAATATTATATTTAAATAGAATTAAGATAATAGGGAAAAATGGCCTATATAAATGTTAAAAGTTTGTTACCCAAAATATTTAATGCATTGCTACAGCTTGATGATTAGTGGCAGAAACAGAGGTACAGACATTTTAACAAGAGGAAAGAGAATGTATGCCTCCATTATCAATGAAATATAAATTAAATTTAACATATAATTGTGAAGCTTGCAATGTTTGCATGACTTTTAGAAAAGAAAAGCTTTTGTGTTTTGCAGAAGTAAAAATGTAAGAGCATAAGAAATTATATATCTTGTTAAAGGTAAATATGACAACATGAAATAGTTACATCTTTTTCTTTGTTCCATTTTATGAACAGAACTTGTATAACTCAAAAACAATATAATTTGTGTAAGTACAAAAGTCCTGTAACAAAAAGGAAGTTGTTTAAGTTATTTTAGAAGAAAAATAATAGTTTGCTCTAATTATTTTCTCCTTAAAGAAACAAGGCCCAACTAATCCAATGCTATTTCATCTTGTTCGAGATGTCAAACAGGTAAAAGATTATTTTTGTTTTCGAAAAATGTTATTTTAAAAAAGTCATTTATATTTCATCTGTTTCTAGAAAGCATTTCAGTGCATCTTAAAATTAGCAATAAAGTGACTTTTTTTAGATCGAGATTAAAATAAGGGATAAATTTGTAGTAATACAGGAGTAAAGAGCATAATGTATCAGAAATCAAGAGAAAGGAAAGTTTATGAAATTAAGACCTGAGCTTCTAGTCATCCAGGATACAGTATGATGAATTTCTTAATGCTCATTTGTTCATAAAGGAAGGTCTTCTTTCTCTGTGTTAAGAAGAAATTTGTTCCCTGGGCATGTAAAGGACATTGAGAGAAACACAGATTGGTGATCTTCAATGGCAGATTTTGCCAATAAAAAGGCTGAAAATGTTCTGTCTTTCTTTCTGTGTATGTCTTTCTCCCGCCCCCCTGCCACCATCTCTGTCTCCCTCTTCCCCCTTCTTTTATATTCAGTATTGGTAGTGATTTCATATATAAGGCTCTCATATGGTCTGAAGCCATTCTGTGGTGACTAAATTTGATACACTGATATTCCTCTTCTTTTCTACTGAATTCTCTGTGAATTAATAGTTTTAAACACTTATTTAAAAATTATAACAATTTAAACTATTGATATCCAATAATTTTATTTCCCTTGGAGAAAAAGTACTCATATTTAGTTAATTGAATTATTTTTAAAGTTTCTGAACTGAAATGCTTTCCTTCTAGAATTCTTCATTCAAATGTTTTACTTGCCATTAAGTGTGAGTGAGTATACTATTAAAAAATGGAAAACTTGATAGAAATGTCATTTTCTGTGTTTTGTAATATGTTTAATACTAAACTAACATTTCATAGAAAGAACTTAGACTTTGTCATACTTAAAAATTTTTTTATTTTTTTCCATGTGCTTTTCTTTGTAGCTTTATTGAAATGTATTTCACATACCATAACATTCATCCATGTGAAGTGTATATATAGTTCAGTGACTTTCTATATTCAGGGTAGTGCCACCATCACCACAATTTTAGAGTATTTACAGTACCCCCTAAAGTAACTTCATACCCATTAGCAGTCTCTCCCCATTCCTGCTCCTTCTCTATTCCTTGCCTCTGAGCCCGCCCTAAGCAACGGTTAATTCTTTTCTATCTCTGTGGATTTTCCTATTCTGGACAGTTCACATTAATTTTTGTTTGTTTTGTTTAAGTAACTAAAACTTGCTTTTTTTTTTCTTCCCAGAAAGCTTGAATAATGAGGGAGACCTTCAGTCCGGGGATTTCTTAAACACATTTGCATTATGATTTACTTATGTGATTTAGCAGAACTATAGTTGTTAATTCTGGGAACCTCACATAGGAGATTTGTTATATGTTAACTTCTTTTACATTGATGGCTGTAATAATAAGCCCAGTTTTTCTACTTGCATAAGTGAAAAATCCTGAAGTAAAAGCAGTAATTGAATATTTTCTAATTCAAATTAATGAGTTTTCTAAGAGTTATTTGTATAGCTTGAGAAATTACTTATCTTTTTTTTAGATAACTCACATTATTTTCCTTAAATTAAGTATTTCCCATACAAGTGAATTCATAACATAAGGGTATTTGTCAGATTAAAAAAAAAATAAAACTAAAATATCTATCATACCTGACATCCTTAATCATAGAGCATATTTTGAGGTTGCTTAAGATGAAATTAAAAACAAAAATCTTGTATTTAAGGTGAAAATATGTTTTTTGATTAGTTTTTAAATTAGCAATCTAAAGAATATAGGTATCTAGAAATTAGAAACTTCACAGATGCAGCCAAAATATAAAAAGTATAAGCATTTTAAAAAGTACTAAGTTCATGAAGTTATAATTAGGGAAATGAAAAGAATGGTGATGGATGGTGTAAGAGGGCAGAATTGGTTAACATATATAACTCATCTGATGATTAAACCCTTTAACCAATAATTCATTCTGAAACTGTCTTTCCAAATTCACAAATGGATTATGTTCCAAAAGTTCATTTGTAAATTGATGCCCTGGGAAAATGAATTTTTATCTCTGAACAATGTTATAGGCGGCAGTTGAATTCTAGTCAAGGCTATAAAAACGTGTAATCTACAATATGGCCAATATAATTTTGGTTAAAAATATTTATAAGTATTAATGGGCCCCTCAGGAAACATTTATAGCATTATTTATGCAGGAAAATGCAACTTATGTGCCACGGTGAAACAGAATACTTGGCACTTAGAGGTTTCTTTGCCTGTGTGTGTGAAGTATTAGTACAGTGGAGAGATCAAATTATCTTCCTGTTGTAAGCCATACTCCTGTCCTGAGCCACACCGTTGGGACTTCAAAACTTCAGAATCTCTCTTCTTACAAAAGGAAACAGAAACAAATCACTCCCTTCTTCTGTAAAGTTAGCTGCTGGCAACTCCAGCTTCCTGTAACAAGTAAACATTTGTTATTTTGGAGAATAGTAGGCACATTTCTAGGCATGGCATGGAAATATTGAGAAATACTATTTTGTCTTTTTAAAACTAATGCTTTGTTTTCAGGGAAATCTTCCTCCAGGATATAAGATCACTCTAATTGATATAGGACTTGTTATTGAATATCTTATGGGAGGAACCTATAGATGCACCTACACTCGGAAACGTTTTCGATTAATATATAATAGTCTTGGTGGAAATAATCGGGTATGTAATTAATATTTGGGGGGAAGTCTATAGATGTGCTTTAAAATGAACTTACACACTTTAAAAGTTAAAAATTACTTAGAATGGTAAAAGTGGGATTGCCTTAAAAACATGAGATTTTAAACTAAGAGTACTTAGAAATACTTTGTAATTGAAATCCTGAAGAAACTATATATTTTTTTTGGTGTGCGTACACACATATTTATATATACATACATGAGTAAAAACTGATTTTTTTATAGCATAACAGCATATTTAAATCTATAAAATCTAATAAGCTTTTGTTTTCAGAGGTCTGGCAGAAATACCTCCAGCAGCACTCCTCAATTGCGAAAGAGTCAGGAATCTTTTGGCAATAGAGCAGATAAAAAGGAAAAAATGAGGCATAATCATTTCATTAAAACAGCACAGCCCTACCGACCAAAGGTATATTTGTTTAAATATTACCCTTTCTGGCTTTCACATTTTGTTCTTTCTAAATTACTTAGTATTATGAAGCAAAAAACTACTGTTTTAGTAAGAATTATCTTTTGGTTTTAGATATGGTATTATATCCTTGATTCTTCATTTTCCTATATGCCAAAAGATATTCATTGTTACTTAATGATTGTTATTTTTTAGTATTTATGATAATGACCAAAATTTTTAGATGTTTTGATTATTGCTTAACTGCCTCCTTTTATTCCATATTTACTTGATTAACAACATGCAAGACAGAGGTGTTATCCAAACTTTCCTTTCATTAATACTGTGTTTTATTGGATATTAGTTGAAATATTTAGGCCCTTTCTTTAATCCTGGAAAACTTCGTTGCAAAGACATTTTTTTGGAAATGACATTTCTATAAAATGAATAGCTATAATAAAAATCAAGTGTGTAAAATTTATACTATTTTGATTTGTGCAGCTGTATGAAATTGAAGAATAAAGGGTATTTTACTAAAATTCTCACATGAATGTCATATGGCCTTATTTTGATGAGCCTTATAACATTTATTTTCTCTTAAAGATTGATACAGCTGTGGAAGAAGGAAAGAAGAAAAGAACCAAAGATGAAATTGTAGATATTGATGATCCAGAAACCAAGCGCTTTCCTTATCCACTTAATGAACTGCTAATTTGGGCTTGCCTTATGAAGAGGCAGGTCATGGCCCGTTTTTTGTGGCAGCATGGTGAAGAATCAATGGCTAAAGCATTAGTTGCCTGTAAGATCTATCGTTCAATGGCATATGAAGCAAAGCAGAGTGACCTCGTAGATGATACTTCAGAGGAATTGAAACAATATTCCAAGTAAGTTACATTTTATCATTTGAAACATTTTAAAATACAAAATAGATGGGGTTTAAGTGGAGATTATAGTGCCATGCACTAATTAGGTTACGTATTATAATTTTACTGGAAAATTTAAGAGAAACCCACTTTCTAAATGTTTAAGTTTTTTTAAAAAAACTCAGAAAGAAACTTTGCTGCCTAGGCATGTATATTGTTTGCAGTTCAAGAGTTAAATATCTCAACAAGAAAGAAGAAATGCCAGAAATCAGTTTAATAATTAGTTGTACATAATAGCAATTAGATTAGGAAAAGTTCCATTTGAAGTGGTAGGGAAAGGAAGAAAGTGAGGTTTGAGCTGTAGTCTAAGGAAATAAATTTAATTCAGCTGGAAGGGCATTTCAGATGGTGGGACTACATATGTAGAAGAATAAAATAGTTCACAAGTTTTACAGTCTACTTAGGGGAGTAATAGAATATTAAGCTAGAAAGGTAGTTTGTAGGAAGCTTTATAATAGAGAATAGGACCACCTTCCCCCAAAATGGGCTGTCTTTGGAAGAGAGTAAGAGTTGTTACTGGAAATAACTCAAATAGAGATCCTGTGATCATGTTACCAGGGATTTAAGGTTAAGATGTTCTTCATATTAGGTTAGTCCCTATTCACATTATTCTTCCTCTCTACTGGGTACCAACCCTCTTCTATGTTTGAAATATTATATAGAGACTTTCTGAACAGAGCATCTGAATATTGTCAGTTTTGGTTTCCTGTGAGTCTATAGGTTTATTTCTAGGACCAGGGGAAAGTGCTCCCGGAGTCACATTTTCAGTCTTGTTCCTAATGTGGCATATTTTAATATTTTGTGATTTTCACATAGTAGTGGATATCTGAAAACGCAGGGCTACTATGATTCTGATGCCTCACATTTCCCTAAGTGTGTGTGTGAAAATATTAAAAACTGGAACATGTTATGAATGACTTAAGGATAATGGTTTAAAACTGCAGTTTGGTAATCTGAATATGTTTTGGCTTTTATCTTTTGATAGTGATTTTGGTCAACTGGCAGTTGAATTATTAGAACAATCCTTCAGACAAGATGAAACCATGGCTATGAAATTGCTCACTTATGAACTGAAAAACTGGAGTAATTCCACCTGTCTTAAGTTAGCAGTTTCTTCAAGACTTAGACCTTTTGTAGCCCACACCTGTACACAAATGTTGTTATCTGATATGTGGATGGGAAGGCTGAATATGAGGAAAAATTCCTGGTACAAGGTATACCTTAGAAATAATTTAATATAAAGTGTGTGATTAGATAAAAAAGAACAGAGGAATTAGCTCAGCTGTATAGTAAAATGCCTTGATTTGTGAGGGTGGTAGGGGTTGCGGTGTTGGCATTTTATCCCTCTTAGTCTTCACTCTGAATCCTTTTCAGGTGTGGTGTATAGTGATTGTTTCCCCAGTCTGAGTCAGGAGCATGAGAGCAACAAATGGGAGTATTGGCATTTATAGCAGCCATGAAAAAAAGTTGTTGCTTTATGAAAAGATGATTCCCAAATTCTAAAATTCAGGACCTATCTACTAACTTAATAATCTGTTACTTTTAATTTGCTTGAAGTATATTGGATCTGCTCGGTTTTTATGGTTATAAATTGGGGTAAAATGTTGTCTGGTACTTTCAGTTTCATTAGTGAGAGATTTTACTTTAAACTTTCCTTTTTGTTATTTTATGTCTGAAAAAAGGTATAGAAATATAGAAGGCAGAAATCAGGCAAGTAGTTTAATCACTGATCATTGTAAGTGGATAATAAATACTGATCATATACTAAAAATAATGGTGAAGGATTAACCCTGATATACAATTATAATAGAAACCCTGACACAACAATTATAATTTCTTTGTGCTTGAGGATTTTGCAGGTAATACATAAAATTTTGGAAATAAACCTTTTTGTTTATAGAGGCACAAGCTGAGTAATCACGTTGTGACATGGAACACTTGCAGAGAGATTTAGGATAAAATTAAGCACATATTAACTTCATAAGGCTTACATTTTATTTAGACAAAAATGTATTTTCTGAACAAATTGTAACCTGATTTTTTAACAGGACAAGTGTATAATAATTATTAAATCTTTTCTATACCCTTATATCATAATACTCAAATGTTTTGTTACTCTTTAAAACAATTCAACCTGGCCTCTTTATATATAAGTAAAATGTGAAGTTTTTGTTTTTCCCCTGCACCACCAGGGGAAAAATGGCTAACTAATAATCAGGAGATTGTATACCTTTTTATTGCCTTTATTATATTCTTGAAGGCCATTAATTTTAAAATGTAAACTTTTGTGTTTCTGAAATTTTTAGGTCATACTAAGCATTTTAGTTCCACCTGCCATATTAATGTTAGAATATAAAACTAAGGCTGAAATGTCTCATATTCCACAATCTCAAGATGCTCATCAAATGACAATGGAAGATAGTGAGAACAACTTTCAGAACATAACAGAAGAGATTCCCATGGTAAGGAGGAGAAAAAATTTAAAGTAAATATAAATTTGTTGTGAATAAATGTACAATAAATGTTCTTTTTATTTTAGGAAGTATTTAAAGAAGTAAGAATATTGGACAGGAATGAAGGGAAGAATGAATTGGAGATACAAATAAAATCAAAAAAGCTTCCAATCACACGGAAGTTTTATGCCTTTTATCATGCACCAATTGTAAAATTCTGGTTTAACACGGTATGATTTTTTTTATTGAAGTATAATTGATATTATATGTTACAGTGTATAATATAGTGATTCACAATTTTAAAGGTTATACTCCATTTATAAAATTATAAAATATTGGCTATAGTCCCCATGTTGTACAATATATCCTTGTAGCTTATTTTATACCTAATAGCTTGTACTTCTTAATCCCCTACCTTTATATTGCCCCTCCCCCCCTTCCCTCTCCCCACTGGTAACTACTAGTTTGTTCTCTATATCTGTGAGTCTGCTTCTTTTTTGTTATATTCACTAGTTTGTTGTATTTTTAAGATTCCACGTATAAGTGATATCATACAATACTTGTCTTTCTCTGTCTGACTTCACTTAAGATAGTACCCTCCAAGTCCATGCATGTTGCTGCAAATGGCAACACTTCATTCTTTTTTATGGCTTAGTAATATTCCATTGTATATATTTACCACATCTTTGTCCATTCATCTGTTGATGGACACTTAGGTTGCTTCCATATCTTAGCAATTGTAAATAATGCTGCTATGAACATTGGGGTGCATGTATCTTTTTGAATTAGTAACATGGTATATTTTAAAATTGAGCAAAAATTGTTTTTACCACATTAAAAACCATTCAGTTTTATTAGTTAACGTATTAAGTTCACACATGGTCTAAATAAACCTTTAACAATCCATCTATGATTCTCTATCAAAATACAGATTACAGTAATTCAGAAGAATTCTTGTTCTTTGGATAGAATGATCTGAGAATTGTGATTTTTTTGATTTACACAAAGAAGCCTAGTTATTTAGTAAACATGGATGTACAGTAATTTTATAACTTCTTATGGAAGGGTTACCTATATTTTTCTTAGTTATTGATGAAGATGTATTTGTTTCAAATATGCCAACTAATATTCATGACTTCTATCTGTTGATTTAATGAATGTTTATCAAGATTTTAATGAATTAACATCCTTTTATCCTAAAAGCAAATGGTCACAACTATTTAAAATTTACAGTGATCCTCTGTCTTTAATACAAAGAATGATTCCTTGAACACTTAACTAATGGTGATCTATAGGAATGATTTAAATCAATGACAGATGTCATCTCCATTTAGATTTTCATTGTACATTTTACATTACAGGCTCTTTAAACATCCATGGAGTAGTAAAAATAAATGATTGCTACCTAATATTATTTTCAAATAATCTCAAATAATGCCAATATAAAAAAGATGCTGATAATAATTACACCTGCCCAAACATCATTCCCTGTGATCCTGTGATCAATACCACAAATTTTATAAGTGTTTTAACTTTAGATTATTTTCTGTAATATTCTCAATTAGAGTAACGCCAGAAAAGTTATTGACTTTAATGCTTTCTACTATGTACTCTGATATTTGTTTAGATTTGATTTTTGATTAAGTACTTTCACATTTTTTTCATCATTCAAGTTTCTTTCCACTGTGAACTCTTCAGGTGTTTTCTGAAGTATATATTTAGGACTGATGTCTTTCATCACTTATTACATTTGTAGGGTTTCTCTCCACTATGGATTCTCTGATGTTGAGTGAGGTAACAGCTCTGGTTGAAGGCTTTGTCACATTCTCTACATTTGTACGTTTTTTGCTATTATGGTTTTTTTCTACTTTTTCTACTGTTATTTTCTGATGTTTTTGAGAGCCAGTTAAAGGCTTTGCCACATTTGCTACATTTGTAAGGTTTCTTTCCAGTATGAGGTCTCTGCTGAATAAGATATGAATGCTGATTAAAGGTACTGCCACATTCTGTACTTTTGTAAGTCTTCTCTGCAGTGTGAATTATCTGATGCTGCTTAAGATTTGAGCCCTGGGTAAAGGCTTTGCCACATTCTTTACATTTGTATAGTTTCTCCCCAGTATGAATTCTCTGATGTTGAGTACATTTTGAGCACCATTTGAAGGCTTTTCCACAGTCTTTACATTTATAAAGTTTCCCTCCAGTATGAATTTTCCTTTGTCTACTTAGATTTAATGATTGATTAAAGACTTTCCTACATTTATTACACTTGTAATATTCCTCTCTAGTATGATTACTCTGATGTTGAGTAAGTTGATATTGAAGACTGATTAAAACCTTTATCACATTCACTACATTTGTAAGTCTTCTCTCCAATATGAATCCTCTTATATGTAGTAATATTTGAGCTTTGATAAAAGACATTCCTGTATTTATTACTTTTAGAATGGTTTTCTGAAAATTCAGTGCCCTGATGTTTCGTAAGACTTGAGTCTCGGTCAGAGTTATTGTCTGATTCAATGCAGGGATAGCTTGTTGTTCCATTATAAATGCTGTTGTAGTTATTGAAAAATAGAGCTCTTGGTTAAGACCTTACACAGTTTATTGCAGTTTAAATTTCCAAGTCGACAACTTTCATGTTTTCCCAGCAGTATTTTTTGGAATAAATCTTCCATGCCTACTTTGTGGTCATCAAAATCTGGGTGTCGTAAGAAGACATAGTTGGGTATGTGGCTACTGTCTCCATTCCCTTCACATCCTAGAGATCCTTTTTTTGCTCCAAAAAGGTGACCAGATCCCTATAGCTCTCTAACATCTGTCCCTGTACAATTCCCATTGATCAAAGTCCAGTCATTCCCACTCCTCTTGAGAGAAATCTATGACCACATCTTGGAATGTCAGCAGTCCCTGAGAAGCTGCCATTTCCTCCTGTTCTTTCTCCTGCTCTGGGTTGTTTTTTCATCAATATTATGTTGAAGAAACACATCAGCATCTTGAGAATGTACCTTCAAAGGTGTCAGCACATCTCCCTCACCAGCTCCTACGCACAAGCCGAACTTTCATAGTTGACTTTGAAATGCTGAAAAGGCCAATTTCTCCCATCCTTTGTCTCAGGAGAAATACAGGAATAACCAGCTCCTGGCCTTTAAAAATGCTTTGCTGAAACCCTTTCAGGAGTTTGGGTTTTTGGGGGCATGAGCCACCAGTCTCCTTGCATTGCCCTGCAGTAAACCTTTCTCTGCTCCGAACTCCAACATTTAGGTATTATTTGGCTGGGGCCTGCGGCTGCTGTGGGTGCCCGCCCCCCACCCCCGGCTTGGGGCACCCCCTCCAGGAACCCCCTAGGGGTGGGGCCATGTATTCTGCACTCTCCCCCAAGTGACTGAGGGCGGAGCGGCCCCGCCCCCACTGCCCGCCACCCCCCGCCCGGAATGGAGCTGGAGCCCAGGTCCCTGCAGAGCCAGCAAAATGTTTTTGAAAGATAGGCTTTAAGGGTACCTTTGGTTTAGAGTCCATACTAATCTTGATATAACTTAGATCACTGGAAATCCATTTTCCACTTAAAAGAACAGTACGTTCTCTGATACACAGTTATAATTTCTTCGTGCTTTTGCAGATAATGTTAAAATTTTGGAAATAAACCTTTCTGCAGTGTTAGTTGATGGTGAAAAGTAATCTAGATTATTCATATAGTTTTATTTTTCAGTGGTATGATAGCTTATTTCTTTAATCATAGTACATGTTTGGTTATCTGTCACATAATTGGTTTTTCCCTTGCCAGTGGAAGAACAAATTTTACTACCAGGTTAAAGAGCATACATGTCCATAGAGGAATGGACTCCATCTGAGAAACACATGAGACTGGTGCCTACTTTTTTCCAGGGGCCAAGTGAATGAGTTTTTACTCCCCAGGAAAACTTTTAAGTTGTTTTTGGTTTTTGTTGTCATGTTTGTTGTGTTTCATTTTCATCATTATCAGGCTTTTTTTGAATTGCCAAAGTATGCAAATGTTAGTTTTCTGTTAGCTTTATGCTAATATGAACATTTGAGAATTTGTTCCTTCAACCATTGCTTTCTCACCTACACACATGCCCATTAACCTGATACTAATTCATTACGCTTCCTTCCCAATACGAAAATTTTCTTGCTCCATCTTGTTCAGATGTTAAAATTGTAAATCTGAATTACCTAATATAATCCCCAAATTCTGTCTCCACTAATGGAAATAACATAGGTTTCATATGTTTGCATTCGTATGAACAACTATTTAAAAATGGACAATTCAGGTGGCTCTAGGAATTTCTTTTTTCTTTCTTTGCATATTGCAGTTTACTTCTCTACTCCGCCATAGTTCAAATCAAAGATATGGCTTATTTTAAAACTGGTAGAGGCAAGGAAAACGATGAGAGAATTCTCAGCCACAATTGTTCAAGGGTCAGAGAGTCCGGGTTTTCCTCTAAAATGAAATGACTCTTCAAATGTTATTATATGTTGTTCCTTATCATCTCCTTAAAACCTTTCTTGTTAAGAGTCTCAAAGGTGGGATGTTCTCTTACCTAGGGAGAATGTTTTCCATATTTGTTTACATTTCTTGGGATTCAACCTCAGTGATTGGGGGCTAAGAAGATATTGGGTTGGCCAAAAAATTTGTTGGGTCTTTTCTGTAAGATGGCTGTAGTAGCACTTAGTTGTCTTTAACTTCATTCAAAACAATTTTGTTAGGCTGTATTGTGACAGCTGTCATATCAGCATGCATTTAAAAAAAGCTTATCAAAATTGGTGAATTTTTGTGTAGCCTTTTTAATATTGAAGACGGCAGAAAAAAAGCAACATTTTCAGCATATTATGTTTTATTGTTTCAAGAAAGGTAAAAACAACTGAAATGCAAAAAAAGATTTGTGCAGTGTATGGAGAAGGTGCTGTGACTGAATATGTCAGAAGTGGTTTGGGAAATTTCATGCTGGAGATTTCTTGCTGGACGATGCTCCGTGGTCGGGTAGACCAGTTGAAGTTGATAATGATCAAATCAAGACATCGAGAACAATCAACATTATACCGCATGGGAGATAGCCGACATATTCAAAATATCCAAATCAAGCGTTGAAAATCATTTGCACCAGCTTGGTTACGTTAATCACTTTGATGTTTGGATTCCACATAAGTGGAAAAAATCTTCTTGACCGTATTTCTGCATGCGATTCCCTACTTAAATGTAACGAAAACATTCCGTTTTTAAAATTGTGACAGGCAATGAAAACTGGATACTGTACAATAATGTGGAATGGAAAAGATCATGGGGCAAGTGAAATGAACCACCACCAACTACACCAAAGGCCGGTCTTCATCCAGAGAAGGCGATGTTGTGTATATGGTGGGATTGGAAGGGAGTCCTCTATTATGGGCTCCTTCCAGAAAACCAAACAATTAATTCCAACAGGTACTGCTCCCAATTAGACCAACTGAAAGCAGCACTCAATGAAAAGCTTCTGGAATTAGTCAACAGAAAATGCATGATCTTCCATCAGGATACCACAAGACCACATGTTTCTTTGATGACCAGGCAAGAACTCTTATGGCTTGGCTGAGTAGTTCTCATTCATCCGTCGTATTCACCAGACATTGCACATTCGGATTTCCATTTATTTTGGTCTTTGCAAACTTCTCTTAATGGAAAAAATGTCCATTCCCTGGGAGACTGTAAAAGGCATCTGGAACAGTTCTTTGCTCAAAAATATAAAAATTTTGGGAAGATGGAATTATGAAGTTGCCTGAAAAATGGCAGAAGGTAGTGGAACAAAAGGGTGAATACGTTGTTCAATAAAGTTCTTGGTGAAAATGAAAAATGTGTTTTTTATTTTTACTTAAAAACCAAAGGAACTGTTTGGCTAACCCAACCAGTTGTCTTTCTTAGGAATACTACTTGGTTGGGGGAAGGAGGAGCCACATATTATGTGTTTCTTGATGATGGTGATGAAGTTCTATAGTATGATACTTGAGGTATAATATAAGTTAAGTGAAATTATGTGGACTATACTGAGAACATAAACCTGGTATTATAAAATTCTTCCTATGAGAAGTACTAAAAAGTCAACTAAAGTCTAGAATAACACACTTTTACCTTGGGGACCATTTATAAATGGTTGATTGATAAATGCAATGTCTGCGTGGAAGAAGAGTTACTTCTGAAACTTTTTTAATGATTGAAGCTGGGAGATACTTCACAGGGGCTCATTTTGTCTCTTTTTTTGTGTATGCTTGGAAATTTTCATAGTAAAGAAATTGTATTTTATAATAAATTTTATTCATATCTTGTATTTTCTTTTTTTTATTAGTTGGCATACTTAGGATTTCTGATGCTTTATACATTTGTCGTTCTTGTACAAATGGAACAATTACCTTCAGTTCAAGAATGGATTGTTATTGCTTATATTTTTACCTATGCTATTGAGAAAGTCCGTGAGGTATGTCTTTAGTTTTTCCTACCAATAACTTAGTGTATATATGGAGGGTGTTACGTTTTGTTTTGGTTATGTGTGTGGGTATGTGTTATTCATACCCACACACATAACCATGATGTAGGTGAGTATATTCATATACCCACCTATATCACCCAGTAGGTGATGTTATTGAAGTACATAGATTGTTTGGTTTTGCTGTTCTAAAAGTGATGGCCAAAGAATAGAGATTGTGTGGTTACTTTGTCACAATTACAAAGATAATGATTTGTCTCAAAAAATAGATTTGTTTTTGTCTTATTTCCTCAACATTCATATTTATGTTCTTTGCCAGTCTCAAAAAGTATTAAATATACATATAGCCAATCAGGTAGATAAATTATAAGTATATTCTTACTTTGCTCTTAGGTTGTACTGCTCTAAAGTGTACTGTATTGCCCATTGAATTATTATTTAGATTTAGATCCCTATGTCCATCAGAGTTTTCAGTTTAAAATTGTAAATTTTCTAATATCCTGATTTTGGAAAAAAAGGTTTTTAAAAAAGTTTTATACTTTCTGTTTAATCTAGTACCTATATAAATGTTGTTTTATAACACAGTTATTTAAATACATATGAATTATTTCATGTCTCTACATTTAGAGAGTACATGAAATTGCAAAAATAGATAGAAGGCATTGTACTTCCCTCCCACTTAGGTATAATAGGAATTTAATAGCTTATGCATTTTAAATGCCTTTGAGTGCCACAGCCCATATGTTTATGAAATCTGTTGTTTTACTAACATGTTTGAAGAAATTAAGTTGTTAAATTGTGAAAGCAAGTTGCATATAATTTTTTAATTCATAAAACAGTTCTGCAAGGATTTATTAGATAGTAATAAAAGTGATTGCCTCTAGTGGGAAGAATTAGTTGGCTAGGGGTGAAGAGTGGAAGGGAGACTTTTCAGTATTTACTTTTGATACACTATGATTTTGAAGCTCTAAATGTATTACCATTCCCCACAAAAAATTTAAAATATTTTTTATATTAAAGAGCTAAGTATAGCTACTTAAACCATTGAGTTGTTTACTTTCTGCAAATAAGGCACCTTTGGAAGATCCTACCTGGATATCCTAGTGTTGTTTCAGTGAAAAATAAAACAACTTTTGATAGGTATCTCACATTCCAAGTCTAGAGAATTGTGTTCTAATCCAGGATTTTCAGTGTCTTAGTTGGATGACCTTGGTTGAGCAGGTCGTTTATTTGTGGGTCTTGTTCTTACTTTTTTTCCCCCTATATATAGAGAATGAGGATAAGAAGTATCTGTCTTTGATATCTTATTGAGTTGTTTTGGTGATCAAATGCCAAGACAGTCAAAATACTTTGAAATATTAAATGATATATAAAATTCTGCTCTGACAGTATAATTGAATTCTGGTATATGTTTTAATAGGAAGAAAGTGATGAAACCTTTTACTTTTTTTTTTTTTAAACCTGTAGATCTTTATGTCTGAAGCTGGAAAAATAAGCCAGAAGATTAAAGTGTGGTTTAGTGATTACTTCAATATCAGTGATACAATTGCCATAATTTCTTTCTTCATTGGATTTGGACTAAGATTTGGAGCAAAATGGAACTTTGAGAATGCATATGATAATCATGTTTTTGTGGCTGGAAGATTAATTTACTGTCTTAACATAATATTTTGGTATGTGCGTTTGCTAGATTTTCTAGCTGTAAATCAACAGGCAGGACCTTATGTAATGATGATTGGAAAAATGGTAAGTTGAGAGGTGTCTGATAATACTCATGGGTTTATTGATATTTTTTCTTAAAATCATAAAAATATGTTATTAATATAGTTTTACTTGAACCAGAGAATGATAGTTCATATTTATTTGCCTCATATTGCAAATAGACCCATTCCTAAGGATATTAGCTTTTTTAAAAATTTATTTATTTATTTGTTTTTGGCTGAGTTGGGTCTTTGTTGCTGCATGTGATCTTTCTCTAGTTGCAGTGAGCGGGGGCTACCCTTTGTTGTGATGTGTGGGCTTCTCATTGCGGTGGCTTCTCTTGTTGCAGAGCATGGATTCTAGGTGCACGGGCTTCAGTAGTTGTGGCATGTGGGCTCAGTGGTTGTGGCTCGCGGGCTCTAGAGTGCAGGCTTAGTAGTTGTCGCTCACAGTCTTCGTTGCTCTGTGTCATGTGGGATTTTCCCGGACCAGGGCTCGAACTTGTGTCCCCTGCATTGGCAGGTGGATTCTTAGCCACTGTGCCACCAGGAAAGCCCAGGATATTAACTTTTGAAGAAAATATTTGAGAGGATAAAGTTAGGAAACCTTATTTTATTTGTTTTCTCTTGAAATACTTTAATTTTTAAATGTTACTTGCTAGGGCTATTTGAAAAAATATGAACTTGCCAGCTCCAATCTATGAGTTTCTTTTCATCTTTACTACCACTACCCTAAACCCAATCTGTCATCATCTGGCACTGGCAGTAGTATAGTAATCTGTTTACTCACAAGCACTCTGGCCTGTCTTCAATCTATATTATAGCCAGAGTAATATTTCAAAATGCAAATCTGGATATGTCAGTTCTCCTTCTTAAAAACATCTTTTAATGATTTTGCATTACTGCTAGAAATCAGTGTACTTAATAATGAAACCCATAAGCCTTGTCCAATTTGACTGTTGCTTTCCTTCCTTTCTTCCTCCCTCCTTCCCTTCTTCTCTCCCTCCCTCCCTTTAAATTTTGAGATAGTTACAGATTAACATGCAGTTGTAAGAAATAATACAGAGCGATTCTGTGTACTCTTTACCTAGTTTCCTCCAGTAGTAACATCTTCCTTGCTTTCTTAAGTCTCACCTCTTACCATTTTTGACCTCTTATTTGTGTTCTAGTCACACAAACCTTTATCTTTTTCCTTTAACACAGCCCCTATCAGAGAACCAAGAATAGCTCATGTTCTTTCTGTGTAAAATGATCACCCTCATGTACACTCATATCCTTAGCTTTTTTCATTAATTAACTTAGTTTTGTTATCCAGATCTTGGCTTCAACATGTTTTTTTTCAGGGAAGCTTTTTTGATCTTTTTCAACTAGATCAAGTTTATTTGCTGTATAATTTTATGGGACCCATGTTTTTCCCTTCAGAATATTTATCTGTGTCTAACTGCATTTTAAACTACATTCTTATTGTATTATTTATATTCTCCTCTAGACTTTAAATTCCTTGGAGTAGAAACCTTGTCTGGTGTTGGTCACCTTTATATCTCTAGTATCTCAATACTTATCACTTTAGTAGATTCCTCCTTAGTAAATATTTGTTGGTTGGGTGGATAAAACCATTTCAAGTAGGAAAAAAACAACATAAAAATACTGAACATTAATTGTATTTTCATAGGTTGGTAGTTAAGATTTTTTTCTCTTATTTTTATATCCTTAGCAGCAGATTATAAATTAAAAAAACTGTAATTGTTCACCAAGTAGTTTTTAATGTTTATTATATTTTCACTGTTATGCAAGACAGTGCAGATTGGTTATTAGGATATTGTCCCTGAACTTTGTGAAACCACATTTCTCTTTTTTGACTTTATCAGTCCTGTAGTTATTTTTAACAGTTACATAATCTAGCTTGAGGAGCCTATCCTACATAAAGTATTTTAGGAAATTATATGAGATATTAGTAAAACTATCAATGTGGTTTATTGATTAAGTTAATGAGTAGGGGATATAGGGATTCATGGAAAGAGAGAAATTTGTGGAGGTTTTTGTTAAAGCAGTGGAATCTGAGCCATTCTTCGAAAGCTTGAGAGAGATGGGAGTAAAAAGGAACAGCCTGACTGGAAATTTTTTTGTGATAAGGTATAGTTTGTTAGCAAATTGGTTAGACAGGGCGTAGTAGCTTGGAGTATATAGAACATTGAAAACTAGGACTTTAGAGAAGAAAAATATAGGGGAAACCATTGAAGAGTTTTCCTGCCAATTTTTGATTTTTCTTTACTATAAAAGAAGTAGGTTGACATTTCTGTGTCTTTCCTTATCATCTTGGAGTGACTTTTCAGTGTATGGATATTGAAAGCAGCTAGTCAGATTGTTCATTATGATGATTTTCAACCAGTGAGGCAGTCTGAAGAAGTCTCACAAGGGTTCTTCATGCTCAGTTCCAACCCACCACACTAATCTTGTCCCTTATTAATGCACTTTGCAAGATAATGCTAACTAAACAAATACTGTCAGTGGTTTATGTCTTTAGGTACCTCTTTCTTCCTATCTTTACTGATCCAGACTTTTAAAATTTATATCCAGAACATCTAGTCTTTTCCTGATATAATATGCCCAATATTTTGCTCTTTCCCATAGGCTTAACCAACTGGCAGGTTTTGTTTTTAAAATACAGATGTCAGGTTTAATGTGCAGTTCTTTATGCACTGAGCTGAAAAAATCTAAAATGTACTGGGCCTACTCCTGCCATAAATTTGGGCCTACTCCTGCCATAAATTACTTTCGGTTTTCAGTTGAAAAAGGCAAACTCTATTATGCTTCTGTTGCTTTTGTGAAAGTAACTTTTCTTTCCTTGTTCTAAAATTACTATTCATGGTAGAAAATTTTAGCAAGTGCAGACAAACTACCCTCCAGAGACATCCAATATTAACAGTTTGATGTATACCTTTCCATCCTTCAAGACATATATATGAATACGTGTGTTTATTTGTGTCAAACTTCACACGAATAAATGTATATAATAGTTTTATCGAAATGGGCTCATTATGTGTATGCTGTTTCTCAGTTCTTTTTAAAATTGGTCTTCTAGATTAAATTTATCTTTTAAGTAACCCCACTAGCTCACAGGATTATCAGCATTGCTTTGCATCATGAAGACAAAATTTTTACATTTTTTGAATACAGAGTTTCATTATTATACTTGATTTTCCGCACTACACATTTTCCCTCTAGGAGAGTGTATCCTACTCTCCCCAGTTAAGAATTACTGGTTTATTATTTGTCACATCAAAGAAGTACTTATTATTCATCCATTTTGCATTCTTTCATGAAGTAGTGATATTTCCAGGAAAAGTTAGGGGAGTTAAGGTTTTGGGGGAGGAACTGGTTTTAGCCTAACGTTTTAGGGCAAAAAACTGCTCTAGCTCTCATTGTCTACCAGATTATTTAGTGACTTAGTATTATTGGGTTAATTTAATGGTGATATACAGTAAATGGAAGGTGCAGGAAGTATAAAAGTGAACAATCTTAATAACAGATGGAGATGGGAAAAGTAAGGAAGCCAAGAGAGAGTGGAGCTGTCTGGATTTCCATCTGAATCTTACCTCTAATATACTCCCAACACTCCCACCGGTTCTCCCGTCCCAATTATAGGGAGCTGAAATATATATTTCATTTTCTTCTTTACCTTTGATCTTCTTTAGAACCACCCTCCACCAGGATTATGTCTTTCCCCTTGTCAACGATTTATTTATCATATCATTATCGTTTTTCTCCTAGTGCCATCTTCCCTTTCTACCTCCTTCAGTACTCTCAGATGGTTAATGTTCTAATTATCTGCTTAAAGTAGATGCTGCAAAGTATAAGAAATCCTTCATTAAAGTATACCTTTAATGAATAAAGGAGATGATTTTATAGTATGTAGTAGATTCCTAGAGTAACTTAACATTTTTTAATCATTGGGTATCTGTTATATGCTATGCATTATACTAAGCTGAGACTACAAAGATGAATAAGACGTGGTCCAGATCCTCATGGAATTCACAGTCTAGTATATCAGACAAGCATGTGAGCAGATAGAGAAAGATATGATAAACTGTTTTGTGAAGACAAAGCTTTCACAAGGAACATGGTATTTGAAAAAAGTTTAGAAAATAGGTAGGAATTTTTCCTGAGCAGGGAATTTCTAATCAGAGAAAACAGCTTCATATCTTTCATAAAGATATGAAAGATTAAAGTAGAAGAAATCTTCACATTTGACATCTTTAATAGAGATCAGACTAATGAAAATTACATGGTAAATGCTGAACTCGTCCTACTCACTCCATATACCTATACATTCAAGCTAGGAACCCTCATTTTAGATATAAGAAATGGAATATTCAGATATTTTAATTAGTTAAATTTAGATCAAATATAAGGAAGATTGTCAAATAGGCTTTATGCGAAAGGTATGAAATCCAGAGAACTCTGAATCATCAGCCAACAGACCTTGAATAAATCTAGAATATTTCAGGTTTGGGTTTTGATTTGAACTTTTGAGTTGGGCTTTTTCTTTATTTAATTTGGATTTCAAATTACAGCAAATGCCATGAATAATGTTTTGATGAATTATTTGCCTTTAAAAATCTTTTATCCCAAGATTTTGTTTATTGAAAACATATATTCTTTTAGTAGTTCTCTTAAGTGGTCAAATAAGGCATTATTTAACCATTTTACAAAGAAAAAAACTGAATCTTGGGCGGTGTATGGGATTTTTTTATTGTAAGTCACAGGGACTCAACTCTAACTTAATTTTAAAAAAAATTATTGGCAGATCTAACAATTTTAAAGGTAAAGGATCAAGACTAAATGATTATTTATAAATAAATATTTTATAATTTCTCCATCTAGTGTAGACTTACTGTCCTCTTTACTTTTCACAGTCCTGCCTTCCATTTCTACTCTCACTATATACTTGTTCAAAGCATATGAAAATGTCTTAGTAATTTCTTTTAGATAGATTTATTACTGCAATTATTGTTAGTTCATAGTAGATTAAAGTACAGATTTATTGTAAATGTAGTCTCTTGATCTCCATGGGATTTTCCCCTTAGATTATTATTTGTGGATGAATATTATTACATATTACCAGAGTGACACTACATTCACTTTCTTAGATGTAAGTGCTGAACACTTGTACACATAAATAAGTGGACAGAAATTGAAGTTTCATTATAGCATTTCACTTAATTCTTTGAATTCCTGAGTAATGATGTCAAAATTCACATTGTGATTTAGCAATAAAAATTGTTTTTTAATGATTTATTATGTGATAGTTCAGTTAGGCTCTTTTTCAATTTTGTTGAAATTAAAGAATTGCAAACTACGTGACTTGCAAAAGAATTTGTTAACCAGATACGGGTATCACTAATTTTTTCAACACCCATACTGATAATTCAGTTTGTTGTTTTATTTACCTCTTAGGAGGTTTTCACAGCCCAGGAGACAAGGCACCATGGTAGGGTTCACGATGGGTGAAAAGAATGCCTTTCTTTTGTGAAGTGGGCAAAAGATACTATCAAAGGAAGGTAGAAAAGATAGTCTGCACCTCCTGTATAAGAACAGAACAGTTTTAGGAAAGAACTCTCATGGAAATTGGTTCCCTGAATCTGCCCCTTATGTCTTTACTTCTTTAAAATCTTCATGGACATGAGATAGGCAGACTCCAGTTTGAGCCTGTGATATGGTTCATTATGTAGAGGATGCCTGTGACTTACCTGATGTTACAGATCAGTTTTTACATAATTTCCTGGATGTTAAGGTTTATGTAGTGATGAGGTTTCTTGAATGCTAATGCTAGGAATAAAAAGAAACTCAAAGATTCAAGTTATCTGTTGGAACATTAGAAACTGTTTTTTAAGATGAAGAATTGTCTTTGTGTTTAAATTCCCATGTATTTTAACAGTGTTCATTTTTTAACAGGTGGCCAATATGTTCTACATTGTAGTGATTATGGCTCTTGTATTACTTAGTTTTGGTGTTCCCAGAAAGGCAATACTTTATCCTCGTGAAGCACCATCTTGGACTCTTGCTAAAGACATAGTTTTTCATCCATACTGGATGATTTTTGGTGAAGTTTATGCATATGAAATTGATGGTAAGGATTTATGTGTACAGATATATCTTTTGGTTATTTCATATTTCAAAGTCAAAATTGCATTATAGTAATATTACAAATTTTCACAAATCAAACTGTTAACCAGCCTAAGTCCTCCCATGATACATTAGTTAATCCCAGAAGAAACATAACAAAAATTAATTGAAAAAAAAGTATTTCAAAATTTTTTTTAGCTGCAAATAATGGAATCTGGCCTAAACTGGCTTACACAATAAGGACATATATTAGCTCACATAACAGAAAGTTCAGAGGTAGAGTGGTCTGTGGTCTTTGGGATTGGTTAATTCATGCTAAAGACACATTCTTTTTCATCCCAGTCCTCTGTAATAAGTGTCTGATTCATACAGGTTTTCCTTTACAATTGTAAGACTCTGTCACAAGCAACAGGAGGAAAGAGACACTGTTTTCCATTGGTTCCCTTCAGGGGAAAAAGTCCCTTTCCCAGATGCCTTCTATTGAACCTATTTTTTAATCTCATTAGCTCAGATTGGCTTCAGTCTACCTGTCCAGGGCAAGGGTAATGGAATTACATTGATTAGTTGGATTGTATATACTCTTTTTTTTTTTTTTTTTGCGGTATGCGGGCCTCTCACTGTTGTGGCCTCTCCCGTTGTGGAGCACAGGCTCCGGACGCGCAGGCTCGGTGGCCATGGCTCACGGGCCCAGCCGCTCTGCGGCATGTAGGATCTTCCCGGACTGGGGCACGAACCCGTGACCCCTGCATTGGCAGGTGGACTCTCAACCACTGTGCCACCAGGGAAGCCCGGATTGTATATATTCTTGAATTGTAAAATTCAACTCTGAATACATTCTCTGCATAAAGCTATTCTGTTGTTTTAGTTTAAAAGGCTAGATAACTTGTGGACATAGTTGATACTGCCAACTTTCAAGGATGTTCTTCTGACCTTCACATTGAGTTATAGAATCTTTATTTTGTTAGTTTGTTTATGTTCTCTCTTGCTCTCTCTCACCCATCTTACTTTACTCCTCCATCACCCCCATTCTGTGTTGCTCCTTACCCACCTATTTATAGGTGATTAGATCAGGGGATGGTCACATAGTAGTCATCAGTTGTTTTGAGATGTTGGTTAAAACAGTGAGGTTTTTACCAGCCTGGTAAAATTTTGTGTTTAATGGCTTCCTGTTTATTGTCATTTCCAGGTTTTTATTGTCTGCTTTTTCTTATGTGGCTCTAGTTTAGTTATACAGCATTGGATACAGTTTTTTACTCTCCTGCATTCTCTTTCTTGGTTATTTGCTTCAACAAACTAATCTGAATAGAGTGGAAATAGATTCATAAAATTTTTTAGGGGATTCCCTGGTGGCGCAGTGGTTGAGAGTCCGCCTGCTGATGCAGGGGACACGGGTTCATGCCGCAGAGCGGCTGCGCCCGTGAGCCATGGCCGCTGAGCCTGCGCGTCCGGAGCCTGTGCTCTGCAACCGGAGAGGCCACAACAGTGAGAGGCCCGCGTACAGCAAAAAAAAAAAAAAAAAAAAATTTTTTTTAGGAGTGAAAGGACCTTATGCATCAGTTTGCCCGTAAAACCATTTTATGTGAAAGGAATGATACAGCCATGATGAGAATTTCAATGATGTATATTTTTTAAATGCTTACAAAACACCAGGTGCTAAGTGTATTATAAATATTTGTATAAAACTTGTCACTAATTCAAGACTATTTAATTCAAATCCTTGCCCTACTTGAATTTATTTTACTTTATTCCTCATAACTCTGGTGGGTATTAAAGCTCTTCCCTTCCTTAATTCAGCTGTATTATGGCTTCAGAAACATTCCAGATGGAGGCAATGAAATGCAAGGAATTCAAATCTAATCATTGTATATTTAAGAGGCACTTTAACCATTCCGTCAACCCTCCTTTGTGGCATAATAAGCTAAACTCAGTATTCATTATGTTTGTAGATTTACTATGAGTTTATCATACTCTTTTCTGGTTCAGGTATTTTTCTTATAGAAATGTGTGGCTGAATCTGGGAGTTTTATTCTTCTTAATGCTCCTCTGGCTAAACCCTACCTTGGAGGGTAGACATAATACAGAAATATATACTTCCTTGTATGGAGTAGAGTCGTAGAATAGTACCCACATCTTTCACAAAATTCTTCTCTTTTGGAATACTGTTAAGTTGGTGTTTGTATGGCTGCCTGCCCAGAAGCTTTTGCTAGAATCTGTGAAACAGATATGTACATAATCAAAACTTCCTTCAAACAAACGTACACAAATATTGACTAGAAGCAGTAACTGGTAAATTACTGTTTTAATTTTTTTTTTTTCTTTCTCAAGTTTGTGCAAAGGATTCCACTATCACTGAAATCTGTGGTCCTGGGACATGGTTGACTCCATTTCTTCAAGCAGTCTACCTCTTTGTACAGTATATCATTATGGTCAATCTTCTTATTGCATTTTTCAAGTAAGAATTTTATTTGGTTGCTTATTGTAATGAGATCATTTAATATATAGTTCTCTTTTTGAAGGAACTATACAAAATTTAAAGTATAAAGATTTTATTGAGGCTTAAACTACTAAAAATTATTTTTGAAAATTACAAATAAGAAAGCATGTATTTTCAAAATCAAATTAATTCTAAATTTGAGACTCTATCTTTCAACATGCAGTTCTTTTACAAATTTAATCTTTATTTGGTATTTATTACAAGGTGGCCAGGGAATACACATGCAGTATACAAAACAGAAAGGCAAATAGAAAATACTTCAGTAATCCCATCCTTAGTATTTTGGTATACATCCTTTTTATATTTTATATATATGAACCACTTTTTCTTTTTAAAAATAATGTTCTTATATTTTGTATACTGTTTTTAACTAAGCAAAACATGAATATTATCCTACATTAATAAATATCCCTCTCCAGTTTTTTAATGACTACCTCGTATTCCATGATATAGACTGTAATTTTTAAGCCAATATGTTATATTGCTCCATTCGATTGTTTATAATTTTTTGTTCCCCAAAACCACATTGTGGTTAAATTTTTTATTAATCCTTATGTATTTCCTTAGAGTGTTTTCCTAAAAGTAGAACTATTCAATATATGTATATTTCGGACTTCTTCTATTTAAGTCAAAATAGGCCTTGTGTCTCCAAATCTCTGCTAACAGTAGGTATTATCTTTTTAATGGTTGCTAATTTGACAGTACATAAGAGTCTTGTTTTTATTTGCACTTATTTTGTTACTACTCAGATTGAATATTTTCTTCTGTTTTTGTCATTTATATGTAATTTAAAAAGCTTAAAATCATATTTTCTGCCTATTTTTCTGGGAGTTTATAATTAAGACCCTCAGCAGTATCAAACTTTGCCTTATACTGTTGCATGTGTTTTTTTCCGGTTTCGCATTTACCTTTTAGTCTTGTTTATGGTGGAGTACTCCTTTGAATCCTTGTTTAGAGCAGAATTACAATAAAATTTTAGTATTTAAAACTTTAAAATGTGATTAGCTAAGTTTATTTTTATTCTTTGTTATTCAAGCAATGTGTATTTACAAGTGAAGGCAATTTCCAATATTGTATGGAAGTACCAACGTTATCATTTTATTATGGCTTATCATGAGAAACCAGTTCTGCCTCCACCACTTATCATTCTCAGCCATATAGTTTCTCTGTTTTGCTGCATATGTAAAAGAAGAAAAAAAGACAAGACTTCGGATGGACCAAGTAAGTAAAATATATTAAGGCAAATGTTTTTATTTTATCACTTATCAGTATCACACTGAAAGCTAAGTATATTTTTTTTAATAAATTTATTTTTAAATTTATTTATCTTTGACTGCGTTGGGTCTTTGTTGCTGCACGCAGGCTTTCTCTAGTTGCGGTGAAGTGGGGCTATTCTTCGTTGCGGTGCGCGGGCTTCTCATTGTGGTGGCTTCTCTTGTTGTGGAGCACAGGCTCTCGGCCTGCGGCCTCTAGAGTGCAGGCCCAGTAGTTGTGGCGCACGGGCTTAGTTGCTCCGTGGCATGTGGGATCTTCCCGGACCAGGGCTCGAACCTGTGTACCCTGCATTGGCAGACAGATTCTTAACCATTGTGCCACCAGGGAAGTCCCTGAAAGCTAAGTATTAATTTTATTCAGAAGACTTAACTGGTTAATGTTATTGTAAAGCCTTTTGTTGAATTTGCCTAAACATAAAAGAATTTAAAGTGCAATATGTTTATCTATAAAAGTAAATTTAGTATTAAACTTACCTTTTGGTATGGCATCTCAATTCGGTTTTGTTAAAATGCTAGTGTAAGCCATAACATTTGCCGTTCTACAAACCGTTTTGACTGCTGTGTAAACTAACACTTTTAGTACATTCTATGTACTACGTGAGACATAATAAACTCTGCCTAAAATTTTACAGTGGCTTTTTATTCTACCAAATCAGTTCTTATATTCTTGTACCTGGGTATGCGAAGGAGAGGTGTGAGAGATAGATGGGGAAGGGTATTTTATAGGAAACGGAGATTCGAAAAGGAGGAAATACTGGAAACTATTCTTCCAACATCACACTGTGAGTGAAGAAAGAAGTAGAAATACTTGTTTAAGGCTTTAGAAACACACCAGTAAAAAGAGAAAAAAAAAATGCTGATGATTTACATAGCTTTATGAACTCTAAATAACATAAAACTCATGAGCTAAAGTTTATCTTGATGTCTCTGTTGATTTTTTTTTTCTTTTCCCTCCTTAGAACTTTTTTTAACAGAAGAAGATCAAAAGAAACTTCATGATTTTGAAGAGCAGTGTGTTGAGATGTATTTTAATGAAAAAGATGACAAATTCCATTCTGGGAGTGAAGAGAGAATTCGTGTCACTTTTGAAAGGTTCAGAAACTCTTTAATTATAACTGATTTTATGTCAGAGTGGGTTCTCTTAGTTATGTCTCTTACACATGGTCATTGTTCAATTTATGTTTGTCAAACAAGTAAGTTTAGTAATGGTTTTACATAATATATTGTGAGACAGTTCCATTCTTTACTTCTAAGACTTCATGTAAGTCAGTCAGTCAGTCTCTTAACTGTTTTTTGACCCTTGTTACAGAGGGCAGAAAAGAGTTGGTGGAGAAAAGTTAAACTGTCTTAATTATTTTAAAACATGTTTCTTTCCATTAGTTTTGCTACGTTCTAAAAGTATATGGTATTTGTGTAGGTACAATAATGGTAATAGTAGTTTATGTGTATGTAGCTGAATACACAGTTTTGTGTTACTCTGATGGGGGAATAAATAGCCTATGGTACAAAAGTGTGTTTTAAAATCTTATATTTTTATTATAATAGGATTAGCACTTGATCCTTATTTTTTTTATATATTTATTTATTTATTTATTTTTGGCCACGTTGGGTCTTAGTTGCGGCGTGCGGACTCCAGAGTGTGTAGGCTCAGTCGTTATGGTGCGTGGGCTCTCTAGTCGTGGTGTGTGGGCTCCAGAGCTTGTGGGCTCAGTAGTTGCAGCACGCGGGCTTAGTTGCCCCACGGCCCGTGGGATCTTAGTTACTTGACCAGGGATCGAACCCATGTCCCCTGCATTGGCAGGCGGATATTTCGAAACCATTAATTTTTAACATTTGTAAAACTCCTGTGTTTCCCTTACAGAGTGGAGCAGATGTCCATTCAGATTAAAGAAGTTGGAGATCGCGTCAACTATATCAAAAGATCATTACAATCATTAGATTCTCAAATTGGCCATTTGCAAGATCTTTCGGCCCTGACTGTAGATACATTAAAAACACTCACTGCCCAGAAAGCTTCAGAAGCTAGCAAAGTTCACAATGAAATCACACGAGAATTGAGCATTTCCAAACATTTGGCTCAAAACCTTATTGATGATGGTCCTGTAAGACCTTCTGTATGGAAAAAGCACAGTGTTGTAAATACACTTAGCTCCTCTCTTCCTCAAAGTGGTCTTGAAAGTAATAATCCTTTTCTTTGTAATATTTTTATGAAAGATGAAAAAGATTCCCAATTTAACATATCTGGTCAGGATTTACCTGTAATACCCCAGAGAAAAGAATTCAATTTTCCAGAGGCTGGTTCCTCTTGTGGTGCCTTATTCCCAAGTGCTGTCTCTCCTCCAGAACTGCGACAGAGACAACATGGAGTAGAAACCTTAAAAATGTTTAGTAAAACTCAAAAATCAGGCAGTTCGTCTAATAGCATACCACATCTGTCATCCCCACCAACCAAATTTTTTGTTAGTACACCATCCCAGCCAAGTTGCAAAAGCCACTTGGAAACTATAACCAAAGATCAAGAAACTGTTTGTTCTAAAGCTGCAGAAGGAGATAATGTAGAATTTGGAGCATTCGTAGGTAAGTTTGGCAAACTGATATTTGTATATCAACGTTATTTATTTTTTAATTATAATTATCACCTTAGAAATAAAAATAAATTGCTAATTAATAAAATCATGTACTTGTGTGACAAGTGGATTACCTTTTCATAGAGTATAGTTCTAAAAATTTTTTAAGGAGTCAGAAGTCGGGGAAGTAGGTTGAATTGGGCTATACTAGTTATATTAGCACATACCTCTTTGGTGCAACTTACTATAATAACAATTGTATGGAAAACTTATTTGGACTTTTTTTTTTTTTTTCCCGATACGCGGGCTTTTCACTGCTGTGGCCTCTCCCGTTGCGGAGCACAGGCTCCGGACACACAGGCTCAGCAGCCATGGCTCACGGGCCGAGCTGCTCTGCGGCATGTGGGATATTCCCGGACCGGGGCACGAGCCCGTGTCCCCTGCATCGGCAGGCGGACTCTCAACCACTGTGCCACCAGGGAAGCCCTAGACTCTGTCTTTTGAATTTAAGCATAGTCTCTTGAATTTGATCAACTTTTGTTGAAAGAATTTGAGTGATGTGTAAGTGTTGCAAGACAAAGGTATAGGGGAGGCTAGAAGTAACTGGAAAAGAACAGTGTTTTATAAATAGGCTGACCATATAATTTTTCATCCAAACCAGTACACTTTTGAGAGTGAAAGGGTGTGTTACTGATACTTACATTAGGATAATAGGGAAAGCCAAGACTCTACTTGGAAAATGAGTATTTATGGTCAACCCATTTATATACCCAGAGAGTATATACCCAGAGATCATTTCAGAAAGGAATGATTCATTCTTATACCTCACCTCAAATAAAATAAGGACTGAAAATATATTTATTTTGGCAATGATAACATGTTAATAACCTTGGTGAAAACTGTTTCAGTGAAGGAAGTGATAGAGGAAGAAGCCTGATTATAGTGAAATAAAGTACAAATGGGAGTGAATGTAGAGAGTGATGGGGGGCGACTCAAAAGCTTGGCAATGAAGGCAGGAAGAAAGAACTAATATTGTCGTTTGTATGTTTAAGGTTTTATTTGTTTTGTTTTTAATGATGATGTTTTGTTATTTAAATGTTGACATTATGCCACGTGGAAGGAAAAGATGAAGAGGGAATGCTTTGTAGAGCTAGCTAAGCCCCAAGTATTTGTAGAATATAGTGTTCTAACAGCCTTCCTCTTAGATTATTAAAGATAAAAGTATTTAACAAAGAATTCTTAGAAAGCAACTTGGGTTGTTCGTGGACATAACCAGAATGTTCCAAGGTTTGAAGAAGGCCCTCTGTCTCTTCAAGTTAGAATTTTTCCTTCAGGTGGCTTCCCAACCTTGTCTTTAACACTTATATGAGCCTTCCCAGCCTAGGAATTTACCTAGTCACGGAACATGTATAGAGATGGTTCACAGAATGTTATGTCCATGTAAAATTCTCCACATTAGGGCCAACCCCATGGATTATCTAGGTACTGAGCATGCTGATCTCTACTGCTAGGCTATGTGAGTTCACTGTGGGTTTATAGAGACAACTTTTCCTACATAAAATCTATCCCAATTTATTTTTTAAAAACATATTTTAGTTTGTTTGTTAATATATTGCCACTGGTATGGATATGTAGATATAGATATCCATGTTTTATGTCTATATTTATATGTACTATGTATATATGTATAATAATTATATATAATGCTTTTTTTATTGAGAGTAAAAATGATTGCTCCCCCTCTTCTAAATTTCAAGCGGTTTACTTTATATCACATGTTGGATTCTTTTAGGATCCTGTTACTGTAAACTTGAACTACTCATCTTCTCCAGCTTTTTGATACCTATTTTCAGTATTTATCAGGAAAGCTACAGGAAACTTCAGAGCCATCAAAACTACTCACAAGACAACATACGTCACTTGTTTGAATAGACTAGGCAATGACATTATTTTGATAGAACTAAAAAAACAAGTATTTTTTGTTGTAATCTTTTCTTTTTTCTTTTTTAAGGACACAGAGATAGCATGGATTTACAGAGGTTTAAAGAAACGTCAAACAAGATAAAAGAAATATTATCCGTAAGTAAATCCTTATAGCAGTGTGATTATTTTGCTATTTTGGAGTTTAGTTCAAAATAGAATTAAGCATATTTTTCAGGAAAAATACAGTGTTAGCAGAAACCATCATCAGCATGAGAGTTCCAAATATTTGAAGCTTATACACAATTTGCAAAAAAGAAGAAACAGTTGAAGAATATGAAAAAATGTACAAATAGCTTGCATTTTTTAACTGAAGTTAAAAATCACCTATTTAACATTTCTCTTAAAAAATGCTTCTCCCTATATGGTTTCCACAGACTACTCATTGAACTCAACTCTTTCCCAGGCCCCAGAATTCATTAGAATATAACCCTGCTTCTCAAGGACCCTGTGGTCTAGCAATAAAAAGCTGAATATGCCAGTAACTACAGTATCGCGTGCAAGTGTAAGATGTTCAATAAATGTTGGTTAAATGAGTTTTAAAGTGTACAGAACAACTAGCAAAAAGGTGTGTTTCCTGGCTGAAAATTTTTATTTCTTAACTGTTGCTTTCATAAATTACCAATAACTAATTTGAGCTTTAAGGGTAATAACAGCTACATCAAGATAATTAGGAAGACCTGGAAAAGTGCTAAGCTTCTCCATCCCTTAAGAACTTAAGTTGTAGAAATGATCAAGTGATAAATATAACGGAAATAAAGTTTTTCCTAAAACTAGAGCCAAGGAAATGATAGATATAATATAAGCTTTTATAAATGATTATTTCTCATATGATCTATAGTTAATTGTGAAATTGCTGTCAGGACATGTTACTTATTACCCTACATCTAAAAGGTAGACTCAAGTGCATTTTTTATAATATAAATGCTGACTTCTTTTTGGGGGTGGGGCGTGCCACTCAGCTTGCAAGATCTTAGTTCCCTGACCAGGGATTGAACCTGCACCCTTGGTAGTAAAAGCACAGAGTCCTAACCACTGGACCGCCAGGAATTCCCCAACATTTGTATTTTTAATAGCATATATTTTGATTGAACTACTGTACGAAAGTGAATAATTTAATGTCTATTAACTAGATTTTGTTAACTTTGGATTTAATTGGTGACTATATGTAAATTGAGATGTAGTGATTCCATGAGGTCCCTTTCTTTCCATATTTGCCTTTAAGTTTGTATTTCTTACCTCAAATAAGACCATCAGAATGATGTAAGAAATAACGATTATGGAGTATTCAAAGATGCGTAAATATCAGGTAAAGTCTCTTTAGTACTTGTGGGAGTCAAAAAGTTAACTTAAAATATACATATACATTTAGATGGAGGAAGTAGGTAAGATAAACTTACCATAAGACTGATTTGCATGATGTATTCTAACCATTTTAATTCTGTGACATACTTCTAAAGATCTGAATTTTCCATTATATATGATGCCTTACAGAGAAGGAGAGAACTAAATAAATAGGTTGAATGCATTTAGGTAGCATTAGCTGACACGTGATGATGAAAAACAAGGGAAGAATAAATGAATGAGAAAAAGTAATAAGTAGAAAGAAGAACTGACAAAGCTCTACCAGAGCTGGTTTTATAATTCTTAAAGTGTAGACGTGATATATCTACATTCCATATGGGGTTTTTCTTGAACAGGTTTTAACTGAAGTGGATTTTATAGTAAATGAAGTTTTTTTATGGACCTTTGTAACTTTTAATAGAGTTTTTTTGTAATTTGGAATTATTTAAGTTCAATAAAATTTCTGTCACACTCTCTTTCTCCTATATGCGAATACCCTTTAATTAAAAATATGGACCCAGTATGTTATATTGCTCAATTGTAGAGTCCATTTGTGTCAGTGTAAGAGAGCCCAATGCCTCTTATTTTAGTCCTTCCTTATAGTATAATTAGTTGTTCAAGAGAGATGTACATGATAATTTGGGTAGTATATTTGTTCACTTTTTATTAGTGAAAGTAATTTTTTAAATGTTTAAATATTATAGTTGGGTACTTGGTATCCTAGAATTTTAGAGATATTTATTGATACCTTTTAGCAGTTAGTAATAAAACTTAGTCTAGGGGCATTAGTGCCTAAGTGGCATTTGACCCCAAGTTTGACTCTAAACCTGTACACTTCAATTTTAGCCAGGAAAATTCTGAAGGCTAGGAATGGATATGGAGAAAGTAAATCTTTGGAGTGATTATGACTTAGAGAATTGACATGACACCACAATAAAAGGCTAGAACTGCTAACTAGCTGGAACTCTGAGAGTTGTCAAACTCATCATGTCAAAACCTCAAATTCACCATCATCTCCCCGCTCAGCAGACATATTTCTTTTCCTCCTGTATTTCCTACCTCTGTTAATAGCATCAGCATCCTACCCTTCCAGTCAACAGCCAAGTCTACCTGGTTTTGCTTCCTAAATACTTTTTTAGTGCCTCTACTTTTCTCAATCCTTAGTTATAGTAGTTATAGTTACCCTGACTTAGGCTGTTAATTCTCTTAATTTATATTTCATTGAACTTTTAAGGTATCTTTAACAAGGTGTCACAACAGCAGTTGAAGGAATTTGATGACACTCTGATGGCATTTTGCTGTTGTGAAGCACTTGATATATGGTGGGAAATCATTTATAATGAATGGACATTTCCTAATGGTAAATGGTAGATGTTAGGGTTTCCCCACAGATTGCACCTTTTAACAATGGACCTATTAAATGAACTTAAAACAGGAGTATGCTGAAAATTTTTAAGTGAGCAAATAACTTCCTGGTAAAAACAAGAAGAAATAACAAGTTTCTGTGAGTGGGAAGAAAAGTGGTGGCTATGTTTTAAATTTAACAACTGTGAGTACTTTACTTAGAGGAAAAGAACTGTAATAATAGAATAATGAGCTCTAGCTCTTGACGATTAGAGGTTTTGAGTTCTTGAACATTTGTGGGTTATACATCCCTTTGAAAATTTAGTGAAAACTACAGACCACCTTCCCAGGCAAATGCACATATACAAATTTTTTTCTTTTAAAGTATAGAGTTTTACAAATACCTCGAAGCCCACTCATCAGCCCCACACTAGAATTTCTATCAAAGATGGTTCTATGAAATTGATGTGTCATTGTATCAAAGAGTATATATCAAGGAAAATACTTAAGTAAAACAATCAAGAAATAGCTAGAACTGGTTCCAAAAGGAACAACTAAAATCAGAAAGGAAATCAGAGTTGCTTTGTGACAATAGGAAAAAGGTTAGCACTTTTTGCTTGGCTATATATCAATAAATCAGCTGTAATGTGAAGAATGTGAAATATCAAAGGTAGAAAAACTTAATTTTCTTGAGATGTTTAAGTTAAATTTATTTAATGAAAGTAATAGCTTATTGTGGTAGTAACATTTTAAAACTCATTGTTTCTGAGGGGTGGTAGAGGTTTGGAAATATTTTAAAATTACATAGTAGTATGACCTGTGTATAGCTGAAAAAAAAAACAGGGTGAAGGTATCAGATCTTCCGCATTAGTTTAATGAATTTCGTTAGTTCATCTGGAAAAACGAATAGGTAAAAAGAAGAAAATGGGGGAGAATTAGTTGTTAGATACTAAAATATCTATACAAGTGGTACAGTTGAAACATGAATATTTAGTGAAGCATTTTGGTGACTCCAAAATAACCCTTCTACAAATACAAATTTAATAAGAGTTGGATTAGAAATTGATGAGAAAAGGAATGCTTTGTCAGTAAACACACAAATTGGACAACTGGGTAGAAATTAGGAAACGTCTGTTTCATATCGCTTCATAAGCTCAGATGAATTCTGGATTTAAATATAAAAATTCAAAGTATAAAAAACACTTAAGAAAATAGAAATATTAAGTCAGTAAAGCCAGGAGGGCTTTTAAAACAAATATTAAGGGAAGGATGAAAAGAGATGAGTACCTAAAAATATAAAGCATAGATAAAACAAATATGAAAAAAATTGAAATTTGACAAATAATGACCAGATAGATCTTTGTTATACAAATAGCTTATACAAAGCAATAAGAAAGCTACCAAAACTCCCCCAAATAAATTTCCCCTCCACTTTTTTACTCTCCAAAGAAGAAAGTATTGCTGTTTCAATTTTAGTGTAAAATAGTTTTTTTCTTTTTAAGGTGAATTGATAAATGTTTTATTATTTTCCCTACAGTTTCCTATTTTCCTCCAATTTTTTAAATGAGCTTGTATTGCTATGAAAAAGGATTCATTCAGATGGATTTATGAACAATAAGCAAGTAGGGTGTTTTGATGGCAGTTTTTGAAATTGACATTGAAGAAAATAACTGTAATTTGTAATATACCCCTTGGAGTCCAGGTAGATTAAAGCATATTGAGCTAAATAGATCCAGAGGCTCTTATACTACTTAGAGCAATGATTTGAAATTTACTTCAATTGTTTTAAAATTGTGTATATGTATAATATGCAGAATGATATTCCTTCTGAAGACACTCTGAAACTTGTGAGTTCTCATGCTGGATTTACTGAGTGTCACAAAACTTCTGTTCCTCTTCATTCAGAGCAAGGTGAGTATTTTGACTTCATGAATTATGCTAACAAATATATTCATTTAAGCTTTACAGGTATTTTATGGACATCATTAAACTTTAAATGTATTTTATGTATGTCACACACTTGAGCAGTGAATGTTTCAGAAGTAAGAAAATGAAGATTCTGGTCCATCGTTGTTCTTAACCTTGAATAATACATAATCTGAACATTCTAATATTTTTCAACAAATTGTTTAGACTTAAAAGATGAAAGGCAAAGACTCGCTTTTTACAAATATGCTTTTTTACAAATGAATCGGTTGTATTTTAATCTGTATAGTCATTTAATCAACTTATTTTTCTGCTTTAACCTTTAAAAATAACATACATTTATTTGGTTCAAAATTAAAATACACACACACACACACACACACACAAGCACTTTGAAAATCAGTCTCAGTCTCACACCAACCCCATGTGTAACCACTGTTATTTTTGTTTTTTCTTTAGTTTCATGCTTATGTAGTCATATATGACAATAGTCTTTTTTACCTCTTCATCTTTTACACAAAAGGTAGCATACCATACATGTTGTCCTGCATCTTTAATTTTTCATTTAAGAAGTTTAATGATCTGGAGATGTTTCCATATCATGCTTTTTTGGGGTCATAGTTATATGCGTATAAATTTATTGTTATCTAACTTTTCAGTTATGTACATTTAATCTTTATAAGGTTCCTTAAGAAAAGCAGTACTTCCTTATTCCCCTCACCATTATTTCTCCTTTTATTCTCTTCAAGTTGGGTTTATTCCAGGACTGCAAATTAGTTTAACATTCAAAAATATAAGGCATTTAGTAACAAATTAAAGAAGAAAATCATATGATTATCTTAATAGCTGCAGAAAAGGCTGAATTTGATGAAATTCAACATCCATTCATGATTAAAACTCCTAGCAAAGTAAGTATAGAATGGAGTGTCCTTAATCTGAATAAAGGGTATCTAACAAAAACTTGCCACAGATACCATACTTCATAGTGAAGTATTGAACACCCCAGAAGGAGAACAAGACAAGGATTCTATTTAACATTTTAGCCAAAGAAGAAAAGGAAGAAAAATAAATGGTAGAAGGGTTAGGAGGGAAGAAATAAAACTCACTATTTTTGGATAACATGGATATTATTTCTAAAGTTAGGATGCCTGTAATTTTATATCCTCGTATTTCAGTTTTAGGCAGTATCTGTTGACCTCCCACTAAAGAAGACAAGGATTGAGCTCTTTCCTACCGCCGTCCCCACCCCTCTCTATTCCCTAGCCCACATTCATGCACAGATGTCTTTACCCTTTCCCACCAGTGTAGTTATGTCATGATTTTGGTTAGATCAACACTGGATTCTCTGCTCTTTGAATAAATTTTTTCAAAATATTCAGTTTCATCATCTTGAAAAACTTTTGCCCAGAGTCCCCTAATATATCTCAATCTGCTCTTTTTGCCCTCTATACTTGGAATGTTCTAAGATTTCCTTTCACCGTTCATTCTTTCGTTCTAAGATTTCTCTTCACTGTTCTTTCTGAGGTTTTCCTTTATTGTATCATGAGGTTGTAAATTCTAAATTAGTTTAAAATTTAACATCCTCACTTTTTTTGGAAAATAGGCTTAATTCTAAAGTTTATTTGGCATAAACAAGCAAAATGTGACAAAAGTGGCATCTTAAATGGGGGGAAAGATGAACTATTTTTTTTCCATTACTGTAAAATGATGTTTAAGATTATTAATTGCAACATTGTTACAGCAAGAGATTGAAATCAGGCCAAATGTCCATCAATAGGAGTTTGGTTAAATAAATTATTGTATATCCATTGTATGAAGTTCAGCATAATATCAAAGTAGAATAGAGAAATCCTCTGTGTACTGATATTGAAAGATCTCCAAGCTTAAATTTAAAAAACCAACAACAAAAAACCTGAAGATATATATATTATACTAGCATTTATGTTAAAAAACGAAGATTCAGGGGTGTATATAGAAACACAAAATATCTTTGGAAGGATACACAAGAAATTTGGGAACAGAGGAAGAGCAAGACTTTTTTTTTTCCATACTCTTTTATTTCATATTGCCTTTTCACAAAAATAAATTGAATAATTTTGATATCCTGTCAAGAGACCCGTGAGACTCATATAACTCTTACATTCATCAGTGTTGGGGAGAGGATAAGTTATCTTAGGTAAGTTATATTATGCCTCGAAACACTTTGTGTTTGGTTAGTTGGTATTAAAAAAAATTCGTTTTACTTGTATAACTTTTTTATTTTTTTAAATTTTCTTTTAGTGGAAAGTAACAGTAGAAGGCCATCTATAGAAGACACTCATGAAGTAGATTCCAAAGCAGCTTTACTACCGGTTTGTACATTTCAATTAAACATATGTGTATTTAAAAATATTTATTTAGGGCTTCCTTGGCGGCGCAGTGGTTGAGAGTCCGCCTGCCGATGCAGGGGACACAGGTTCATGCCCCGGTCTGGGAAGCGGAGC